TTTGAGTTTTTATGTATTTTTGCCTTCTCGCGAAGTGAGAACTGAATTAATGAAATGAGAAATACTCAATCGTCTGTGAAAAACTGTTTCTTTTTGTTTTGTTTGCTTAATTTCTTTTATACATCATTCTAGCTTTATTATAGTATTAGAATAGAACATGTGGCAACGATTAGATAATTCTATTCTTTTAAATGATATAAATTTTGTGCATTATGAGTTATAATATGAACGAAATATAATACTATTAAATAAACCTAGCGCCAGAGTGTCGCTATGGTAAACAAAGTGAATTTTAAAGAATGCATTTATTCTATTGTGGTTTATGCGCTGTCAGCGAAGTAGGTTTAATTCAATCTAATAAGTTTAAATAAAATGCAAGAAAAAATGCATATAATTTAATATTCCATACAAGGAAGTCGTGGTGTACACATCAGATTTTTTTTGCAGACTGTTAGAGCAATTTTATAAAAGTAAGCTTGAACATTCGATTATGTCAAATAGAATTTCCGATATATATTTACTAATATGTAAAGGATCTACAAAGCAAAAGTATGTTTCGAAGTCCATTAAACAAAAAGTGGAATTGCTGCAAAAAATGGATAAAGGCATATCTTTTGTTTTTCTAACCATTCCGAAATCTGTTTATCAATTTCACGCTGCTCTGCGTGAAAGGGAAAACATCGCAGCACGCAGTGAACTGGAAGTTGATCTGTCAGCACTATCCTTATCTTCAGGGCAGATGTTTTTATTTTATTCGGCTTATAATTCCTTACTAAGTATAGTATTTCATCTCGATGTACTCCCGTCTTTGATATGATTTAAATCAAATTCCTCGTCATTATAATTCGCTTCCGATAGTGAAAAGGTTATTGAAAACGAAAAAATTTCGATTGACAAGTTAGTCAGTATTCTCTGCACAGCAATTATAGGACTTGAACAGCGGAACTTTGTAATTGAAGAAGAATTTATGTCTGTTTATAGAATTAAAGAGAAAGTATTATCACATAAAACGAAGCAAGTTAAACAACTTACATTGAAAGAAATGTTTAATAAAGTAAACAAATAAATATTAAGCTTTTTTTTGGTAAATTTTGATACCCTTTAGATCATAATTGTTTTTTATTTCATAAATTACAGTTTCATTTTTTTAATTTTATAATTTTTGCTTGCCATCTTACCAGATTTAAACTGATGATCTATAATCCAGAAAAATCGATAATCCGGAATCGCCGAAGTCCCGCCGAGTCCGGATTAACAACTTTTGATTGTATTAAATTTTTTAATGTTCAGTATAAAATGCATACTGCAGTAACATTGTCACTTCCAAATTATAGCTATCTTTCACACACAGCTCATTTTAAACGCTGTTTCTTCAAATTTAAAATGCTAATTTCTATGTTGTCAATTGCTTCTCCGCGCTCAGTGGCATCATTGCTACGTCATCACTCCCCACTGCCTGTTTCAGGGGGAAAAGCTCTATGAGCTAGTCCTTCTCTTTTAAGTCCTGAGTAAGAGCAACTTGTAAACAGCATGCTGCTCATCATGTTCCAAATACTAAGTCAAATTTTAATATTATTTAATTAAGCATATAATGTATCAAAAATATTTCAAAATTATTAATTTCATTAATACTTTTTATCAAATCATCTAATATTAATTATAAATAACGAGCTTAATGATAAATTAAAATGCTAAGAAATTTTCTAGAATTTCAAATGAAATTTCCAATTTTTTTCAAATACTTTTTTAGAAAATCCATGTGAATTTAAAACATGAATAATGCAAGTATGTCTATATTCAGCCGTAGCAGTTATTTAGTGAAAAATAAGGTCCCTTTTTTGTTCATATTATCCTATATTTTATTCTAAAAATTTGGTAAAGTCTTACAATTTGATATCTTAATAAAGGAAATTCCTGAATAACAGAAAGAAGTTTTAACTGTCATATAATACAAAATAATTATACTAGTTAAATGCTGAGATAAACCGCACATTATTATTATATGTATGTAGCTGCCACTAATTATAATAGCCAGATAGGGCCAGATTAAGACTTTTAGAGGCCCGTTAAGCACTTAAAGAATTTGGTGCCACCATATATGTTTATGCCATTTTTCTCTCAATTTCTACCCTCTCTGTTTTGATTTAGCTGCTCCATTCCATGGTTAAACTGGCAATGGGAGATTTTTGGGATGCCATCATCTGTTCTTGAGTGCTTTTAAGTATCTTCCTGTTGTACCTCTTTCCTTTGATGTCTTATTTTGCTTAATGGTTAGCCTAGCTCTAACTCATATCTAGCTAACAATTTCAGTGAAGACCTTCATCCATTATACTGATTACTGGTATGCTTGAAAACAAATAGCTAATGTAATATTAATTGTTCTTAACTTTTCTGTCTATGCCATGGTAAAATTTTATATTTAATTTATGATAACTTTTCTTTCAATCTAATCAGAACCACGTTCTCATCGAACATTATGTTACATTTTTATTTCTTAAAACTCATTTTGAAGTTTAAAAAGGGGTCATATATTTGAATAAATGAGCTACGTTCTAACTCCAAACCAAAATAGCAAGGAATTTTCAAATTGAAGATAGATTTAATAAAGATATGTAGAAGCCTCCTATAACTTGCCACCAACTATTCCAGTTAGGAGGAAGGTTTAGAGGACAGTCTTCATCTATAATACATAACATCCAAAAAGAGATAAGTTTTCAAATTTTATCAAGATGACTTGAAATATAAAATATGTAAGGATACTTTTTTAATGTAATTTTTTTTTTCATATTGAAACACTCATAAAATAAATATCTGTTCACTGTAAGATTTTCTTGATTGATTGGTAATAATAATCCTTTAAGTAATACTGTGCTTTTAAGAATTAACATGTAGATATATGACAACTTAGAACAAAGGATGTGTTGCAACATGATTCTTTTTAATACATCAGTCCTACATGAAAGAGCAATAAAAGGAAATGAGCTTGATCAACCTAGTCATTTGAATTTCAGCTGAAGTTGATAAATTGTTGATGAAAGCTCCTACTTTGCAATGTTTTTATTTGATTTTTAGCATGTAAACCGGTGTTATTTTATTTTATTTTAACTTCAGTTTCACCTACTAGTGCCATTATTAGAAACTGTTATTTATGTGAATGGGAACAGCTTAGCAAAGTACAACCACCATTGCATTAAAAAATATGGCATATGAAAAATCTGCAAGAAAATTCTGTTTTTGGTGAGAGGCATATGGGATATTAATGGTCAAGTAAAAGAGTTATACTCCAGCTCCATGTTAAATTAGGTCTCATTTAAATTGTTTGTTAAAATTATGGATAAAGAGCAAAACAGATGTGTTTTTCAAATTTCTTAGCATATTCTATTCTCTTCTATTTTTAAATTTCTGGATTATAAAATGTTAGTGATCAAAGAAAAAATACTGAAGATGCATTTCGAAATGTTTGCAATAGTTTGGAGAAATTAGAAAAAATTGAAAAATTATGTGAGGTTGCCTTTATTGGGCAAAGTTTGTGGTTGGAATATATTAAGTGGCATTTTCTATGCTATTCAGAAATTTTCCTAAAAATTTGAGAGCTGTTTTAAGATAATATCATATCCAGATATGTCTTATAAATGCCAGGATATAAAGTTTTCTGCATTATTATTATGTGTATCTTATTTAGCAGGTTTATCTGCTATTTTATTATTATGGATGTTTGCATATGCTTTAAACGAATGCTGGACTGCACTAATTTCTTTAAGAAGAATGTGTATCTAATTTGATTTGAGATTTTTGAAGATTAGAATTTAAAATAAATTAAATTGTATTACTGATAATGTTACTTGAAATACAGTTTTCTTTATTTATACATTAACTATATGTATATTTGTGTATCTTAATAGTTGCTTTTTTTACTGTTTTTCTTTATTGAGATTTTAGTGCAATGTCCTGCATATAAATACAGGCTGACATGCAAGAATACCAAACCAATCAATTTATTTGTCCTCATCTTTTAACTTGATTGTACTATTGCAGTTGTAACTGTTTTTAGCTATTGTGTATGGGTCAAATGCATAATCAGAAAGCAGCTGATGGGTTGTAATTTAAAAAAGGAAAAAGGAAGGGAATATTTATTGTTAACAAAACAAAATTGATGAAATACATTAAAAAAATATATATATTTAAAATTTACATAGTTGTGGAAATGTGTATATGAAAATGATGCAAAGAAAAGATTCAAATTTATTCTTATTTTCTGCCTGAAATCTAAAAGTTAGTATCTGCAAGAAATTTCTGTTGGTCACAGTTTGTAATTCAAACGTACTGACAGCTGAACATTAAAATTATCAGATTGACACTTATTAAAATAATTTAAATGTATTGAAGTAACTGTTAAATAACTTACTTTTAAACTAAAAAGAAATATACAAAAACTTCTTAAGAGGGACAAAATTTGAGAATAAATTATGACAACCTATTCTCTGTCTTTTATGTATCGCATTTTTTTGTGACCCATAGAGAAAAAAGTACATATTTGTATGTAAATAATTATAAACTTCTTTTTTCGTACTGTACATTTCAGCAACTTTCATAAAGTTTGTCATCTTGAAAATCACTAGAAAGTATCTCCATTACAAATTGTAGATACTCATCCGCAGTCTGGTTCTTTTCATAATTTTTTTAATTTTTAACTATGTACAAAAACTGTTTGTATGTAATTGCACTTCTATACAAAGTGATTATTCTTATTGCAAAAATTCGTAAATAAGAATCTGTATCTTTTGACAAGTACTAATAAAACTATATCTTCAAATATTTGAATAAAATTTATATATGTAAATTAATTAGCTCCATTGTTAGATTTTTCTGGAATGCTACTCACTTTCAATTTTGGTAGTGAAAATAATGTTAAATTGGACTCTAAACCATTAAAATCTTAAGCACTTTTTGTCAAATTCTTGTTATAATAATGCTAATTAATTTATAGAAAATATATTTACAGGCCGCATAAAATTGCTGCAGAGATTGCCAGTTTGAGACTACTGATGTATGTATGATATACTGAACTGAAATATATATTGTAATTTATTATGAATATATATATTCAGTATATATTATGTAATTATGTTGAAAAGAAAAGGTAAGTTAAAAATTAGCTAAAGCCTTAAAGTACATTTGATGCAGCTAATTCCTTAGTTTACTTGTAACACCAAGTAAACTTGGGTAGCGAACCAATTTTGATTTTGTTGTATAGGTTTTATAAAATTTTGTAGTATTTTCAGTAGGTTTTTTTCACATAAAATTTAACTGCTTTTGTTTACTGTAATTGTTTTAACTTGGTGTTACATGTAAACTTAGAAATTAGCTGCATCAAATGTACTTTAAGGCTTTAGCTAATTTTTAACTTTCCTTTTCTTTTCAATCTATGTTTAAAATTAGCAGCTCTACGCACAATTTTTGATCAACTAGGTCTCACAACTTTTTTAATTTACTATTTTTTACTTATGTATATATGTTATATATATAGCTTATATACTGAAACTGAAATACAACACTGCTATTATGATGCGCTTCATGGTATTTTTCAATATGTAAATATAATTTACAGCACAACTTGGTTAGAATTCTGATCTTATAACTGAGCTGTACAGAAATTGTTACATATGAAATTAAAGGTACATAAGAGATTGTGACTAAAGTTTCTCTAAATTCTTGTATCTGAATTAAATTTTCACAAACCATTTTGGGGTCACTACTCACACAATTTAACAAACTCTGGCCTGTGGCAAAGCTCCATGTTCCTCTGTGGTAAACATATTCATGTTTTCTCACAACATAAGGATTGAAGATGCTTCGCTATTCCCAAGTTAGTAGAGTAAAACTTTTATGAGAAAGTCAATATTTTACATTTCTGTCCCCCATCGTGATATCACCCCTTTCTTCATACACTGCTTCATAGAGAAATGAATCCACCTTCTTGTATTTTAAACATTTATTGTACACACAAAACTACACACTATATCCAGATAGCCCTAGTGTGCTTTGCCATAATTAAATAAATAAATAAACTACACACTATATCAATAAACTACACTATGGACAATTAGAATATTTACATTAAGAAATACAAGTCAATTTCGTTTTAATTTACAGCTCCCATAAGCCTTCTCCTTATCTATGACCTCTCTCTTGGAAACTAAACTTTTGGTGCCTCTCTGACTGTGGGTTATAGTGCTCTCTATACATCTTGTTGGTTGGTGTCACCCATGCATCATACCCATATTCAATAAACAATTATAAAATCTGAGATTCTGACTTTTGATGATCTCAAATAGCTTTTGAAAAATGTGACTAAGGCTGCTCAACTCCTAGTTGCCTTAAAACTGTAGGCTGCTGTTAGGTTGTTTATCCTATACATGTACTTCCATTTACAAATTTCTTACAATAAAGAGAAAAATTTTATGAACACATTTTTAATACAAGTAAAGATGATTCTATCAGAATAAAATCAAAGTTTTGTATATTTTCCATGAAGCAAGAATTCCAGTTACCAAAATGTTCATAATACTTTAAGAAGCTGAAAACAAAAGATTGATTTTCTTTACATGTAAAACTCATAGAACTTTATGTAATTAAAAGAGGCCAGTTATAAATTTAATAATGAAGACTGCTTTATGCTCTCCAAATTTGTTGTCAGAAGTTCTAAATTTTGTCGCAGTAGATATGGAAAAATGTTGAGTCAGTGTATTCTTTTTCGGGTACTTCCGTCTAAATGCAACCACCTTGGTGCAATTCTGTAATTTTTTATAGATGAGAAGATAAAAGTTACTGATTGGATACAAGTTGGTGGTTTTCACGCCTTACACTTTTTTTTTGTGGTATTCTTTTCCTGAAGTACACAGTGATTTGTTTTCGTTTGAAAAAACAGAGAATTACAGAGACTCGGTTTTATACAGCCCTCAGCTATCTAAGAAATGCATTTCCTTGTTGTTCCCTTTAGAAATTTTTCAGCAAAATTCTGTATTCCAGTAGAAATTTTACTGCAGTTTCTTCCATTGCTGGCAAATTCCACAATCTCATATTTTAAAACAAAATTTGAGGCAAAAGCTATGATTTATTTATAAAAACCATTAGAATTTCAAATACAACAACTAAAAAGTAATATACGAAAATGGCGCCATTGCTTGACTGAAGAATTATTTTGTGTATCTTTACAAGAGTTTGGCACATTGATTGACTGAAAATTTGGTGACTGCTAGAATATGTAAGTATCCTTTCACGAATATTTTAGCAAATTTTGCATAGAAAGATGTGGACATTTTTTGCCCTTTTGAGCTCATTAAAAAATAATATTTACACTTTTTAAATATTAATAACCAAAACACCAAAAAAACTTGCTGCTACATATGTATTTACTAAATGTACATATATATGTACTTAATTCATTTTAATGTTAAATCTGTACATTGCCTATTTCCATACTTAATTTTTAATCCTTAACTGCAAAACAATTTTTTATAAGAAATATTCATTATTACCCAATAAGCCCACAAGTGGCTACGGAATAAAGTAACTGAATAGTGATCCAGAATTCAAATCCCAATGAATTCCATTATGAAAATTTTGTGTAACTTGTATAACATGAATACCATAAAAGACTCAAAGGGTCTGTCATGAAGATATATCTTTGCATAGGCAGATAAGTTAAACAATAAAAGTATCACTTATTCATCAGGTTTCATTAAATAGATAATGAGAAAAAGGTGTCTTCAGAAATAAAATAAAATTATAGAGAAAATGTTCACTAATATGAATTCATAAATTTTTTAATATTTTAAAAAATTAAGAAAAGGTAACTGAATAGTTAATTGTTTCCAGTTATTATCTTTTCAATATTTTAGTACTGAATTGTAAGCTTTGGAATGCTGAAGAATGCTTGCTTTAATTTTATGCTTTGCAGATTTTTCAATGTGTAAAATTTATTTGCATAATAAATTTATATCAAACAATTCTAAGATTATATGAAATATTTTGTGAATTTCATATTTTATAAAACAGCATGTGGGAAAAAATCATTATGTAAAACATTTTTAGAATTTCAACTAGTTTATTTTATCTTAGATTCATTTGAAATCAGATATAACTGTAAATTTATTTCTAGATCTGTATACAAATAGGAAATCAGTACGTCAAAAATTGTTGCTGTGATTAGATTTATTTAGATTATGATTTTGAATGCATTGTGAAACTGCTTTTACAGAAGAAAAACTTTTTTTTCTTCATTAACTATTTAATAATATTATTAAGTAAATATTTTCTTTCTCTTGCAATTCTCATATTTCTTAAATACAAATAAGAGAACACTAATAAAAGAATAGATATTTATCGCTAAATACACGTTAAAAACGTAGATTCATTTGAGAAAACGTATGGAATCCAATACATGTTGTTAAACTTTTATATTTAAAATTTTCGATTGAAATTGTTTTAGTTTGATATAAACAGTACTTCCTACCTACTTACGCAAACCATTTCGAAAACCGAAACTACACGTCTGCTGTGTAGCTCCCTTTAATATGTTAAAGGACGTGATTCATATATACCGGATTGTCTAACCCATGCAATTTGAAAATAAAGATGAATAAAATGAAGATTTTAAATTAACAGCTCATGGTTAATAATTTTGAAGAATTATACCAGTGAATCATTTAAATATTCTTGCACGCCCTTACGTATTTGTCAACAATAAGGCAATTTGTAGCAGATTTTGGACGAGTTGGAAACAGCGTGCATGTAGCTGTTGTTTTGATGAAAATGACAGCAGACGTCATGTGATCTTAAAGCTCCAATGAAATTCAAGCGTAGGTCAGCGTCACCTGCGCAGATAACTGCGCGCGAGTCGATCTAAATCCAAAATGCCGTCTAGTTCTGAAGGGAAGTCCGTTTCGTCAACAACTCAAGCGGAGAAACCAATTCACTATACGTAAGTTTTGATAAAATAATTCCTTCTCATAAGCCAATACAGGAAAAAAGTGCGTTTTATCTCTTAATGAATTCATTCATGGATTTGTATCATTTTGTCTGTAGGTATTTGAAGGAATTTCGCGTGGAGCAGTGTCCGCTGTTCCTGCAGCACAAATGCACACAACATAAACCCTTCACGTGTTTCTATTGGCATTTTATGAACCAGCGTCGTCGAAGGCCTGTCAGAAGAAGAGATGGCACTTTCAATTATAGTCCCGATGTTTATTGTTCAAAATATGATGAAACAACAGGCATATGTCCCGATGGAGATGAGTAAGTACTTCCATTGACAGCGCTTGACAACTGCTACTCCCTGTGCGTGCAGCCATGTTTCTGTTCGGGAGGAAGGAGCTCTCGCTAGCTTTTCTCGGGTTTGGTTGTGTTTATCTTACAATTTGAGACTTAAAAGGAGATTAATATTGTTTATTAATTACAAAATATTAATGTTGTATGTCTGATTCTTTTTGTCTGTCGCGACATCGCGTATAAAACTAAATGGAAGGGGATGAACGGTATGATTATTTTCGACATGTGGACGATTCTTTTGCTTGTAAACAAAATACGCCATATTAGTGTGTCCCGCCATATTGCTTTGCGCGCGCGCAGAGTGACGTTTCTATGTCAGCGGGGGCCCTAAGTAAAAGATTTGACAGTTCAATGTTTACTATTACTGGCAGCTGATTGTTTAAATTATTCATATGATGCTAGGAATTGAATAAATTTAGAACTGTTTTAATTTTTAAAAAACAGGCGAAAAACAGATTGTTTTTAGTTTTCATTTTTTAATAAACATTAATTATTTTTCGGCTTCATTTAATTTAAATGAAATTTATAAAATTTTGAAAAGTGTTGAAAATATTTTAAGTATCAGAAATGAGATTGTTATTAAACTCTTATATTTATAAGTTATTTTTAATGAATTTAAATCCTTAAACGCGTTTTATCTTCTGAATATGCATGCCTTTCTCAATAAGTGTAATGTATTGTCATCTTTTCTTACTTCATTTAAAGAATATTAAAATGTATTCCTGAAATCAAATGTTTTAAATAAGTTTCAGTTTTAAAACTAAATTACTTTAAAGAAAAGTATGAAGTTTGACTAATTTTTAAGTTTAACAGTGTTGTTATATTTACTCATTCTCTGCAGATTGTGATGATATGCTTTCAGAAAGAGTAGGCAGGGAATTTAATTTCATTTATAAATTATGGGTTGAATAAATACTTGGAATATGTAAAACTGAAAATGTTGCCTAGAGTGGAAGTAAAGCTGTTTATAAAATTTTATGAAATATGAGTTATGGGAATGCTTAATTTGGAGTTACTTGTAGACTGAGTAGATGTATGTTAACTTGATACAGTTTCAAAAAAGTTAAAATATTGTATCTATGATAAATGAATTTCCTGTATTACATTATAAAATCATTTGTGATAATCAATTTTTAACTTATGAATAAGTTTTTATAGCTAGTACTATCTGGATAATGTGTTTTATTTAAACTAAGGTAACTAATGTGGTTAATCATCCACAAAATAAGTGTTTCCTTTTTATGCATTATTAGTGTATGGTTTTATTTATGTGTGATTTATTTTACTACATTGAATGCAAAGAACTTTATTTCTCAGTAAATCATATTCTGAGTATAGCTGGGTAATTTCAAAAAGCATATTCATTATAATGCTATCTTTAGCTGAGAAGTTTTATTTATATATCCAACTTATGTTTTGCAGTGTGGGTGAGGTAGTAGCAACATTATATTTTTATGTAAATACATGTGTGCTATATGAATGAAATATTTTGTAACTATATTTTTATAAAATATTTCATATAGTTTTATTATGTGAAGTTTTGTTTAAACTTCATAAATAAAGTGGAGGCCATCAATATATTATGTAATCAATTTGTGAATAATTGTAAAACTCTCATATGAAATTACCTTTCATTTTTAAAAATATTTTTGTAGAAGAAAGGAGAGATTTGCATATGTATAGCAGCATTTCTGTATACGCTTACTATTTTGAAATTTATTTGAGAAAGATGATTAAAGGATCTTGTGAGGGTAAACTTTGAGGTGAAACTGAGTAGACATAAATGTAATCAATAATTGAAAATTGCTTAATTTATTTTTTAAATGCAGGCTGTATATATTAAATGTTTTGGTTTTTAGAAGGGCATTTGGTACTGTTCTGTTATCAGGACCAGATTCAGAAATGTGTGCATATAAGTATGTATGCATGTATATAATATGTTATGTGTATATATATATATACATGCACATACATATATACATACATTTCTGAATCCGGTCTGGATAACAGAAGGAAATGGGGCATTTTAAGAAAGGCACATCTTTTTATATTTTGGCTAATGCGATAGTTTAACTGATTATTATTACATTAGATAATTACATGATTTTATTTACATGATATAAATTATATTTCAGTTGTTCCTATCTTCATCGCACTGCTGGAGATACAGAAAGACGCTACCACCTTAGGTATTATAAAACTGGTGTCTGCGTATATGATACAGATACCAGAGGTTACTGTGTTAAAAATGGGCCTCACTGTGCTTTTGCTCATGGGATCCATGATTTGCGAAATCCCGTGTACGATCTTAGGGAATTGCAAGCCATGGAATCAAATGAAGAAGGGCCGAATGGAATTTCTGGTCCGAATAACTTAGATAAGGAAAGAAATGCTCTGAATGAAGACCCTAAGTGGCAAGGTATATGGATTTAATTTTTTATTGTGTTTAATCTTCAGTTAATAAGATTCACAACTCATCATGAAATGTTTGTTTAGTGGTAATTTAAAGCAATTTTTTGCAATCATAGTTTTTTTTTATAGACGAGGAATTTGATTTAAATCATATCAAAGATGGGATACATCGAGATGAATTACTACATTTAGTAAGGAATTATAAGCTGAATAAAATAAAAACATCTGCCCTAAAGATAAGGATAGTGCTGATAGATCAACTTCCAGTTCATTGTGCTCCGCGGTGTTCCCCCCGCAGAGCAGCATGAAATTAATAAACAGATTTCGGAATGGCAAAAAGAGATTCGGAAAAAGAGAGGAATAAAGAACAGAGAAATTTTTATTTTAATAAATACAGAACTTTATTTCTAGCACTTTTTGTAGTGTTAGTAATCCAATTGTGCATATACAGAAAGGCATGGCAGTTAAGAAGATTTAGGAAATTCCCTATCATACCCTAAGCATAGTAGTGAGAGGTTTGCGTGAATGGTTGAGGTAGATAGTCAATTCTAGTTTAGCATAAAGAGTACTTTGAAAATAATTTCTTTGGTGGATATACATTTTTCATATAAATTATTTGACTTTATCACTAGTAAAAACATTTTCTCAATGTTATGATTTCCTCATTCACTGATATTTTCTTTATGTGCTATTATAGATTAAATATATATTAGTTTTATATTTAATAAATGTTATCGCCATCAGCTGTTAATCTTTATTAACTGCAAGTTTACCATTAAGACACTTTTCATTTGCACTAGATCAGAATTTGATCAAATACAAAATTATGAATTTAATATCTCTATAAATAGCGATTTAAAATCAATGCTCCAGGGTTCGTACGGTCCTTAAGAGTCCTTAGATTTTTTGGAATCGATTTTTGGTCCTTAAAAGTCCTTAATTTTGGCGAAAATCAGCAGAAGGTCCTATTTTAATCATCTGAATTTCTGGTCTTTTTACAATTGCCATTTTTAGTGTGAATTAGCATTTTGGAGAATATTTTCGTTGATTCACTGGCATACATGGTTATCTTTGAATGGCTTATGGGTTATAATTTGTTTCTATTCTAATATAATTGATGGAATACTCGAGTTTCTAAGCAAAAGTGAGATTTCGAATTCATTCTCTAAGAAAGGTTCTAAACCTTTCGCTTTGGAGAGTGATTCTTTATTAACGGTTCTAATTGGCAACTTACAACTTTTGGCATCTTAAGATCATTCTATAGAAAATTTTTTAATTCCAAGATCTGAGAGGTTTTGGATGATTTTTTTTTAAAAACTTCCTAATGATAAATTTCATAAATAAGTAATAATTGAAATTACATTTAAAAAATAGCATTAAAATAAAACATTTTTAATTTTCGCTGTCATATTATAAAATCTCATTTTCGCAACTTATTATACAATATTTTGACTTAAGATAATTAAGATAATTGACTTAAGATTTTGACTTTGTGATAAAGGATAAAAATAAAGAAGGTATAATGCTATAAAGCACAATTTACGAAATGCCCTTAGCAAAAGCAAAATTAGCTATGTAATTAGTTAAAAATATCTTTAATTTTTTCATAGTAAAAGTTTTTCACATGTAATTGTCTCGGAATATTCAAAATTCTCAGAGTATATATCAGTTTTCTCTATATAATTAATTTTACACTTTTTCCCTCCTTTTTTTTCCAAAATATTTTTGGCTTTTTGCAGTTAGTGAATTAGTGGGATATTTTTTTTAGTATTTTACCATTGCCCTGGAAAGTTTAGAAGATTTGAAGCGATTTATAACCCACATTCTGAAAATTCGAAATATGGACAAAATAAAAATGTTCCTGTATCAACAATATGGTGTATTTACTGAAAGTTTGATGAATTCTTACTTTGGAGGACATCTGGAGAACAATGAAAAAAATATTGAATTTTTACTCTGATACTATAGAATCATTTCTAATGTATCTTCCTTATTTTACTTTCCTAACACAACATGAAAAATAACAAATGCTTCTAATCTGTCACATGGGCAGCAAATGTAGAAAGATTTTTTATTATAGAGAATTGAAACTTACAATTTAAAAGATTAAGACAATTACAATTTAGAATTAATATTTAAATGCACTAGCTTTTCCCACTGATGATTTGTGAGCCTAAATTCACTTTCCATCCCTGCTATAAATTCTAAAGTTGTGCCATTTCAGATTTTTGTTTGTGTGTCCTACTTCTAAAAATTCTGCACAATGGCTATGGAAGTCCTTACCATATATATTCTTCGATGTTCATTACTAAAGAAATAAAATAGCCATTTTCAACATCTAACTGCATTTCATGTTTTTAGAAAACGGAATCTTTAATTAAATCCAAAAATTCTAAAATGAAAGTAGTCGTGTGAAGAAGAATATAAAGACAAAAAAATTATTTTCAAAGAAATGTGCAGTCTTAGATTAAATACCCAATGTTAGATTTCAGCCTTTACTATAATCCCATTTCTATTTCCCATATGCTAGAGTCCTGAGCAGATTAAATTAAATTAAATATATAACTTCAACGCTGTCCACACTTTTTAGTTGAATTTGCGTTCTTGTTTAAATAAGTCACTATGAGGGTAAATGTGTTACATCCGAACATGCCTTTGTATTCATGTTCTTTTAGATAAGAGGCTTATTTAACCTTGTCTGCTATTGTTATTTTCAGACATACCATAAATGCTTCACATCAGTGGGGGTTTTCGCTATTTAACTTCCCCGCTCAGTAACCCCTAGGTACCTTGTGAGCGGTGACAAGTTAGAGCTAAGCATAGGTTGTGCCGAACTAGCAGAGATGGTTGCATTTTGAGACAATCTCTGATGTTAGAAAGGTGCTTAAGAAAGGAATCGATATAAACTACAAATGTTTGGAAGGCTTCAAATAAAATGAGGTAATATTTTTGTTGAGTGTGTTGTTACAAACATAATGTTTTGTAGGTTTTAATGTGTATTATTCTAATCATTAGAATCAATGTTAAATTGCATGCATTTTAACTGTGAAATTTGATTAGATTTGATTTATAGGCTTTTTTAACAAATTTGTTAAAAATACCTTAATTCTGGCAGTAGTCATAAGACTAGGTTATAATTCCTAATTAATTATTTATAATAACAGCTTAACCCTAAAATTATCTCTAGTATTAAGAGTTATTGCCTTTCATAATACTCACTGGGTCACAGATAAAACACAAAAACGTAAAATTTCAAGTAAAACGTATTCTTGATCTAGTGAGACTTAAAATAATACAAAAAAACTTATCACCTTTGCCTTTAATGGCTTATTGGAACCTTAAAGTATATTAACAGGGTTACAACCTCTGAATACACGAAGCTACGACACTTAACTGCATCAAACAGAGCCCGACTAACTTTCAACACTTGAGAACCTACATCAGGACACCTGCCTACATCAAGCCTTTTAGGTTTGTTCTAATGAGAATGTCTTTCTCTAGACAGCAGCAGCAGTAACAGCATTCAGTCTTTTGTTCTGAATCATGCTAATTATGATCTTACTTCTCGTTTTAACCTATGACGTTTGACATAAAATCTATCTGCTATTTACTCAACCTCTAGACTGACCAAGTACATACAAAAATGAGAATTTAAAAAAATCAACATTAAAGCTACGTGAGTAAACGTAAATGTCACTTATCTTCTTTCAAATATGTCCATCTGTTATAAGTGTAAAATATTTAATGCTACTTGATAAATTGCATAAAGTTTATTTTATTCTCAAACTTATTAATAATTATGTTAATTAATTCATGTTTAGTAATAATGCAGACTACTTAGAGATATATTTTATTTTTTTAGGATGGTATCACAAAAGTGAAATTCAGGCATAGATAGTATATTTAATTGAATTTATTCAGTTCCCATTTGCTCATAGGTCCTTAATTTTTTTCATTAATGGTCCTTAAAAGTACCTAATTTTCATGTGCAGAAATGTGTACGAACCCTGTGCTCCTGAATAAAACTTTTTTCTAAAATAAAATGTATCTTTTAGAAATTTGCATCTCAAACTTAGCATAACATAAGTCTGTATGTAATACCCCAAAATTAATAGCCTTGGTATTTTTTATTAAGATTTGCTTCCTCTCCTTTATTTTGCTTAACAAATTTTTGGTTGTGGAAAGCATTTTATTTATTGGCATTGTTTCTCCTTGTGTGTGTGTAGATATACACATTGACAAGTCAAAACATTATGACCATCCTCACATTTTTCAATAAATTCACTTAGATGACATGGAGGGCACGTGATTAAATGGAAATAGTATTTATCTGCTGCTGTTGAAGGTAAGGAATCATTCTTCCACTTACGTTTGCGAGTGATGGGAAAGGTGCTGATCTAAGCAAATTTGATAGAGGGCAGATTTTAATGGGCTGAAGACTCGGAAAAAGTATCTCTGAAACTACACTGCTCATAGGTTGTTCACAATCTGCCATTTAGTGTTTATGCAAAGAGGATAAATAGCAGTGAAACCAGCAGTAAATACCAAGATGTTGGACATCCACCCGTCATCAAAGAAAAAGGACGTCAGAGACTTGGTGCAGTAAAATCAGCACCAGACAGTAGCTCAGCTGACAGCCCAATACAGCGCAAGTGTTTCAAAACACACAGTTCAGTGGACTGTTAGATGTGGGCCTGAACAGATCCTAGATCGTTGGAAACGCACATGCAAATTAAAACTGACCGCCCTTTTTTACAGAAATATAATATGCTTGATAATCATTTGGCTGTCCATATGCTGTGCACAATCTTGTCTTTTGCTAAGATTGGCCCTGGAACTGCATAGCAGATGTCCCACTTTGGCCTCTGTGGACTAAGCGTCATTGTCAACTACACCTTCAGTGGGCCCCGGAACATTGAGACTGGACCATGGATAAGTGGAAGACGGTTGCCTGGCCAGATGAATCATGATTTCTCATTCATCAAAATTTGGCTTTTCAGTTTATATACACAGAGAGAGAGATTCTGATTGCATAAAATTTTTATCATATTGTATAAAATATGTTGTTAAAAAAAGTATACTTTGCATCATTTAACTAAATTCATGCGATCCCAAGTGTCATAGGTCATTTTTAAATAGAAATTTTTTAATTAATTATTTAAGAGATTAGTTTCATGATCTCTTTAAAGTGTCCAGTTGTATAGATGATTAATGCATCACAGTACGTTATAGTATAGATAGTAGACATTAGATATTAAAATATGGCTACATGAAAAAGACATTAAATAATTGTGTGTGTAACAGATGGTGATAATTAGCAAAGTAATATTTTCAAATAACGAATAAAACATTTTAAAAAGCTGTCAAAAATGTTAAATACAATTGAGTAAATCAAAACATTTCTGATTTTTCTCTCATTTTAAATTTTAGTTATTGCCAAGATATCTGTTCTTTTTTTAGAAATGGTGGTATAAAGTAATTGACATTTCATTAGAAAAGAAAATATATTGATGTAAAAAATATTTGGTAATTTTCTGTTATCAGGACCAGGTTAAGAAATGTATGGATGTATATGTTCATGTATGCATGTATATATGTAAATATGTATGTGTGTGTACACACACACATATGCCCATACATACATTTCTAAATCTGGTCCCGATAAAAAGAGTACTAAATGTTTTTAAAAAAGAGTGTTTTGAGCTCTTGCATTGATGCTAGAATTTGGATTGGGTTCAGTTATTTGATAATGGAAATATATGAGTGTATCAACCCTAGACACTGCAAGAAGCAAAGCCTTTGTAGAAATTTTTGTATTATATATGGCCTTTATTTGTAATAGACAACAGGAAAGCCGTGGAAACCTCGTGCAGTCAGTTCTGTTGCAGAACATAGGACCTAAAGTAAACTACCAGTGTTTGATGATTTTTGGCTCCCAGCCATTACTTAAGTATGATTAATGTTAATGTAAGGATTAATTTAAAAGCATATCCATAAAGCTCTCTTTTAAGTTCTTATTACAGTGCATATTCAAAGATCTGGAATCTCCAAGATTTCAGCGTTTTTTTGGAGTTATAAAATTTTCAGAATTTTTCATGAATTTGAATCTAGTAAGACTACATGTTGAAATTATAAAATATTTGTTAAATAATGGTGTGAGCTCAAGCAAACAAAATATACCCTCCATTGTAAAAGCAATTTCGTTTTATGTGTTAGTACTTTCTTTTGATTTATATAGAGCATGATTTCATTGATCCTGTCCTATAACTGCCATGTCGAGAATTTCCATTAAGTAGTCACATGAAGACTTTTCATTCTGAGTAACCTCTTTATCAGTTTCTTCACAATCAGTGGCAACATTTTCTAAATTTAAAATCATTGTACATGTTTGCTGCGTGAAAATTGATTGGGATTGTATCATAACCCTCTTCCCCACTAAATCAACAAAAGGAAACCAGTATGGCCAACAGTCCACTCCCAAAAAAATGTATCCTTAAGGTTAGTTGACTTGCAGTATCTAGGGTTTATATGTGATAATAAAATTTGCCCCCTCCGTCGCAGTCATTCGATAGTCAAAGATCAAAATGTAATTTACTAGCCAGTTGGTGTTTAATGCTGCAACAACATGTGGGATAACTTGGAAGAAAAGATTTCTTTTTAAAAAAATTTTAGGAGGTCAGGCAATAGTCATTCTGGTAAATGCACATCCATGTTTCAGACATAGTGCAGTATTTTCATTACTACTACATTGTGTTTAACATTGATTTAGAAATGGGTATCTAAATCCTTTTATCTGAAATTTTTGTAAAATTATTAGTGTAATCACAAGCTATTAATTTTTATAACATCTTGGACTTTTTTGTGTGTGTGTGTGTATGTGTGTGAGAGAGAGAGAGAAATCATTAGTGTGATTACCATCTAAATAATTTTTTCTCAGTGGCGCATAATGTGAAATAAAGTAAATAGGAGTGATTACTGTGGCAGGTAAGGAAAATTGTGTGCATGACCTAAGTTTAGCATACTTGTATTTTTTTGTTTGTTTGTTTTGTTGTTTGTGTCGTAGTTGTATTGGGATATAATTTCACACTGTTCTCTAAATTCAGATGCAAATTTCTGGAAGCTGATTTGTTCTCTTAAACATCAATTAAAAAAATGCATAATTTGCCCAGTAATTTAATAAATTTCTCTTCTTTATTGCATATATGGTTCATAATTTATGTGTCACATTTGGTGAAAGGAGACCATAACGTTGTTAAACTATCAACAGTATGAAACAGTATATTCCATTATCTTTTTAATTTACTAGCTATAAATTTAATTTAACAAGAGTAAGCAAAAATCTTTTTTTTTTTTTTTCCTTTTTGCTGTAATTTTAAGGAACTATCCTTTTAACCCTTTACTTTTTGAATTATTATATAATTATTTGTAACCTGTAATGTACTTAACATAAATTGTGCATGGTTTTTATTTTTTTTATCGTAGATACCAACTATGTTTTAGCCAATTATAAAACTGAACAGTGTAAAAGGCCTCCACGACTATGCAGGCAAGGTTATGCCTGCCCTTCTTTCCATAACAACCGAGACAGGAGGAGGAGCCCCAAGAAATCTAAGTATAGGTAGGTTTTTTTTTTTTTTTTTTTTTTTTTTTTAACTTGTCAAAACAAATCGCAGAAACCATTTTTGTATTCTGAAATTGTATAAAGAGTGAATGCTCGTTTATTCAAACCTTCGAACAAATTAATCCAAAGGTCCCCCAAAACTTGTATTGGAATTCATGTTAACAATATCTCATTAAGTTGAACTAAATTTTTATCATTATGTTTAATTCAGAGTAAATATTTGACAGAATTCTTTTTTCTCATTTAATGGAGAAAATACATGCACTGTTTATTATTTTGTGTGTCCGAATCATCTGTTTTTCTTTTCTGTGTAAAGAGGCATATATCTGCATTTCCACTAAATGTTAGTGGCTATTGTCATACTATCCACCTCTTAGCAGTGCTTAACGGACAAAGGTTCCTGGATTCATTCAATTCCAACCTCTTTCCTTGTATTCATTCAGAACCCTTTATAAATGGATCAAGGTAGGGAGAGAATCACTTGTTTATTTGTTATCGGTTTCTGAATTCATAAAAACAGTCTAGAGAGAGTTGACATAGTTTGCTACCAACTACGATGTGAGTACAATGGACAGGAATAATCAGATCTAAAAAATACTTAAGAGACTTACAGCAATCATTTTAGACTAGAAGAGAAACACGCTAATGTGACAATCAAAATCGTAAAAACAACCTTATATTTAGCGTAGGTATAATGAAACACTCAATCGATTTCGAGGGCAGCTAAAGGTCCCTCCTCATCAGGAGAAAGAAATACATAGAAAGAAGAAAATAGGAATCACAGAAACACGTGGTGCTTATCAGCACTGCACGTGGTTATAACTAGATTTTTAATCAGAGTTGCACTGGCCGCCTACTTTTACTGAGCCAGGCTGTCTGATCAAGCATAAAGAAATATTAGCGAAGTTAAAATAGGGAGCGAGGGGCAAATGCACATTACGCTCAAAATCTGAACTTCAAATAATGGAAAGCAACCACTGAACGGATTTTTATACCCTCTGGTAGTACCAAGTGCGAGGAGGTAACGCCATCTATCGGCAAAAATAATTGAATTAAGATAGTAGAATTTTAAAGGCATTAGGAAGGACTGGATTGGACTTCAAATCATTAACTAAACTTTCTAAATCTTTGTGAATGTGAAAAGCCTCAAGAAAATCCAATTCGCCTATGGAAGAAGCCTTTTGGATGATTTTTGCAGACCCAAAATCAAAATTATGGTTAAAAGTCCAGCTATGATACGCTATTGAAGACTTGTTAATTTCCCCTTTTTTGACATAAGATTCATGTTCCTTGATACGAAACTTCAACGCTCTTTTTGTTTGGCCAATATATCTTAAACCACACTGACATGATATACTATAAATTCCCCAAGAATTCAAGACAGAAACGCAATCTTTTAGAATCGAAGGGTGAATTTTATTAATAGGGGAGAAACCGACTTGAAAATTGAATTTCTGGAGAATCCGTGCAATTTTATAGCTAACAGAAGGATAAAATGGAAGCACGACAAGGTCATTGATATTATTTCTAACAGTGGAATGTCTTCTTTGATGGGAATCTGAAAATTTTTTGACGGCTTTATCAATAATCACGGGAGAAAATCCACGGTCAATCGCAACTGCTCTCAAATAATTAAGTTCATTGGTAAGCAAAGATTCAGAGGAACAAACTTTTAGCGCGCGGAAAACATAATAGTAAAAAGAAGCCATTTTTTGCTTAACAGGGTGGCATGACTTGGCATGGGGTGGTAAACAAACTGCAAAGGGTTTACGGTACACAGTGGTGCTAAAATCGGTTTCATTGCGGATTATAAGAATATCGAGGAAGGGGAGGGAATTGTTGGATTCAATTTCAAGAGTGAATTGGATGGCTGGATCAATTGAATTCATAATAGATAGAATCTCGGATAAATCCTCTTTATAACCGTCAAAAAGTGCGAAAGTGTCGTCAACATACCGAATCCAAAGACGAAAAGATAATTTATCAAATAATTTCATCTCAAAATAGTGCATATAAATGTCAGCAAGTACCGGACTGAGAGGATTACCCATAGCCAATCCTTCAACTTGACGAAAATATGCATTTTGGAAAACAAAGTGGGTTTGACTTAGAGAAACTTTAGTAAGCGAAACCAACTCATTAATTTCAGTATGTGTGAAGTGAAATTCCCGAAGCCTAGTTTCAAGACATCGAGTTCTCGACAACCGATGATTTGACATCAGAAGAATCCTCGCGCTGCAAATTGTTTGGCTTCTTTTTACTATTATGTTTTCCGCGCGCTAAAAGTTTGTTCCTCTGAATCTTTGCTTACCAATGAACTTAATTATTTGAGAGCAGTTGCGATTGACCGTGGATTTTCTCCCGTGATTATTGATAAAGCCGTCAAAAAATTTTCAGATTCCCATCAAAGAAGACATTCCACTGTTAGAAATAATATCAATGACCTTGTCGTGCTTCCATTTTATCCTTCTGTTAGCTATAAAATTGCACGGATTCTCCAGAAATTCAATTTTCAAGTCGGTTTCTCCCCTATTAATAAAATTCACCCTTCGATTCTAAAAGATTGCGTTTCTGTCTTGAATTCTTGGGGAATTTATAGTATATCATGTCAGTGTGGTTTAAGATATATTGGCCAAACAAAAAGAGCGTTGAAGTTTCGTATCAAGGAACATGAATCTTATGTCAAAAAAGGGGAAATTAACAAGTCTTCAATAGCGTATCATAGCTGGACTTTTAACCATAATTTTGATTTTGGGTCTGCAAAAATCATCCAAAAGGCTTCTTCCATAGGCGAATTGGATTTTCTTGAGGCTTTTCACATTCACAAAGATTTAGAAAGTTTAGTTAATGATTTGAAGTCCAATCCAGTCCTTCCTAATGCCTTTAAAATTCTACTATCTTAATTCAATTATTTTTTGCCGATAGATGGCGTTACCTCCTCGCACTTGGTACTACCAGAGGGTATAAAAATCCGTTCAGTGGTTGCTTTCCATTATTTGAAGTTCAGATTTTGAGCGTAATGTGCATTTGCCCCTCGCTCCCTATTTTAACTTCGCTAATATTTCTTTATGCTTGATCAGACAGCCTGGCTCAGTAAAAGTAGGCGGCCAGTGCAACTCTGATTAAAAATATAGTTATAACCACGTGCAGTGCTGATAAGTACCACGTGTTTCTGTGATTCCTATTTTCTTCTTTCTATGTATTTCTTTCTCCTGATGAGGAGGGACCTTTAGCTGCCCTCGAAATCGATTGTTTCATTATACCTACGCTAAATATAAGGTTGTTTTTTACGATTTTGAAATCATTTTTTCTTTAGAAAGGGACGAAAACTACAACATTACGCTGCTGACAGCTATAAATGCCAGCGTCATATGGGATGTTGTTAAAGCAAAATTAGTAATTGCTTTCTAAATTCTTCACACCGAAGAGAACAGCCATATCAAAGAATATGACACCGTTGATACAGCTTTTCTTGAATTCTAAAAATTTAAATGTGATAATTTTTCTGATTATGTAAAGGCAGATGAAGACTTGGAAGTCTGTGGAAAACTGAGTGACGATGGCATAATCAAAACTATCCAAGAAGATGAAAAAGAAGAAACCTTAGCGGATTCAGAAGAGAATGCAGAGACTGTTAAGTGTCCTAATCATCAAGCCATAATGGACTCTATAAAAACTCATAAAAGCATTTATTCGGATTGAACCTTTCTCTGAAAATGAAATGTTTACTTGAAATCGAGAAGCTGGCTGAAAAAAGTTGGCATAATAAACAGACTAGACATCTGTTTTACAGGTTTTCTTAAAGATGTAATTCATATTTTTAATTAAAGTTTACTTTCTACTGCATATTTTCTGCTTCATTAATATATTTAATTTTAGAAGCGTATCATAATATATTTTCTGGGGTTATACATACTAGAAGATTCTTTTTTTTTTTTTTTTTCTCTCTTTAGTGATATACTTTTAAAGTTATACTTTCTCTTAATATTGAATAATTCGAACATTTAATTTCCAAGTAAGGAGCATCTGCTGTATTTAAATGTAATGTTAATTAATTAAGACACAAAAACATGCCGAATAAATACTAATTCAGAAGTCAAACAACAAAAATCAGCGTTATACCTACAAAATTTTCACAGGACTAGTTTCGATGGTTTTACCGAACCATCATCTTCAGCTGCAAAACCGCAAATGAACAAGATAGGAAATAATGATTAGATAAGAGAGAAAGCCTGGACAAGAATAAGCAAGTGGCGCCATCTGTTGGCGAAACCAGAACTAAAACATAATTTCTCTAAAAGCCGAAGGCAAATTTGGATTGGAATTAGGATCGTTAACTAGAACAGAAAGATTTTTATGAATGTGAAATGCCCTCTAGAAAATCCAGTTCTCCAATGGAAGATGTTTTTTGAATAATTTTGGCAGCAGAAAAAATTGAAAGTGTGATTTTCGGACCAACAGTGTTGAGCAACAGAACACCTCTGTGTTTCCTTTTTTCTAACATATGCCTCATGTTCTTTGATGCGAAATTTTAAGGCTCTCTTAGTTTGGCCAATGTAAATTAAACCACACTGGCAAGGAATCCTATAAATACCCCAGGAATTCAAATCCGGAATGGGGTCCTTGAGTATAGAAGTTGGAATTTTATTGATGGGAGAAAAAACAACCCGAAAGTTAAATTTCTGCAAAATATGTGCAACTCCATAGCCAATTGATGGAAAGAAGGGAATGACAACAGAATCCCTATAATCTCCTAAAATAACAGTGTGGCCTTTAGTGTGTTGAGATGAGAATTTTTTAACTGCTTGATTAATAATGTTGGGTGAAAAGCCCCTGTCAATAGCTATTGCTTTTAAATAATTTAGTTCTTCATCAAGGGCTAGCTTGGAGGAGCAAACTTGAAGAGCACGGAAAACATAGGAATAAAATGAAGCTAACTTTTGTTTAGTCGGATGACATGATTTAAAGTGTGGTGGAAGGCAAACGGATGAAGGTTTACGGTAAACTGTAGTACTGAAGTTGGATGTGTCACGTGTGACCAGAATGTCGAGAAACGGAAGAGAACCGCAAGTCTCAAGCCCAAAAGTGAACTGAACAGCAGGACCAATAGAATCCACCGTTGAAAGAACCCTATCCAAATCATCCCTACCACCCTCAAACAGGGCAAAAGTATCGTCCACGCAGCGGAACCATGCCGGGAAGTCCAAAGTTTCAAACAATTTTGATTCATAATAATGCATGTAGATATCAGCCAGGATGGGACTGAGGGGACTTCCCATGGCTAATCCCTCAGTTTGCTTGTAATATTTATTTTGGAAAGCAAAATGTGTTTGTTTCAAACAGAGTTGAGTGAGAGAAATTAGCTCATCAATTTCGATGCAAGAGAAATGAAATTCGCGAAGTCTGGTTTCTAGACATCTTAATGCACCCTCCACTGGGACATCGATGGTGTCACTAAACTCTTAAACGAAGGACCATATAATCCGATCCCTGAAGATCCTTCACCTTCGGACTTATCCAAAATAAAAACTGCGATCAAATCTTCGCAAATCATTTCAAGCAACTTAAAACATTCGCTTATCCCATCTGTTGCGAATTGTGCCAGATTATATGCTCTTCCCAAAATTCATAAAAGTGGTATTCCTTTCCGCCCTATTGTATCAAATTTAGGTACTGCCTCGTATCCTTTAGCTAAATATTTAGTTTCTAGATTTTCCACTCTATTAGACAATAACATTTACACCATAAAAAATTCAATAGAGTTTGTAAAAAAGGTTAAAAACATTTCTCCTAGTAATTTACTCATGGTTTCTTTTGATGTAAAATCATTATTCACCAATGTCCCAGTGGAGGGTGCATTAAGATGTCTAGAAACCAGACTTCGCGAATTTCATTTCTCTTGCATCGAAATTGATGAGCTAATTTCTCTCACTCAACTCTGTTTGAAACAAACACATTTTGTTTTCCAAAATAAATATTACAAGCAAACTGAGGGATTAGCCATGGGAAGTCCCCTCAGTCCCATCCTGGCTGATATCTACATGCATTATTATGAATAAAAATTGTTTGAAACTTTGGACTTCCCTGCATGGTTCCGCTGCGTGGACGATACTTTTGCCCTGTTTGAGGGTGGTGGGGATGATTTGGATAGGGTTCTTTCAACGGTGGATTCTATTGGTCCTGCTGTTCAGTTCACTTTTGGGTTTAAGACTTGCGGTTCTCTTCCGTTTCTCGACATTCTGGTCACACGTGACACATCCAACTTCAGTACTACAGTTTACCGTATAGCTTCATCCGTTTGCCTTCCACCACACTTTAAATCATGTCATCCGACTAAACAAAAGTTAGCTTCATTTTATTCCTATGTTTTCCGTGCTCTTCAAGTTTGCTCCTCCAAGCTAGCCCTTGATGAAGAACTAAATTATTTAAAAGCAATAGCTATTGACAGGGGCTTTTCACCCAACATTATTAATCAAGCAGTTAAAAAATTCTCATCTCAACACACTAAAGGCCACACTGTTATTTTAGGAGATTATAGGGATTCTGTTGTCATTCCCTTCTTTCCATCATTTGGCTATGGAGTTGCACATATTTTGCAGAAATATAACTTTCGGGTTGTTTTTTCTCCCATCAATAAAATTCCAACTTCTATACTCAAGGACCCCATTCCGGATATGAATTCCTGGGGTTTTTATAGGATTCCTTGCCAGTGTGGTTTAATTTACATTGGCCAAACTAAGAGAGCCTTAAAATTTCGCGTCAAAGAACATGAGGCATATGTTAGAAAAAAAGGAAACACAGAGGTCTTCTGTTGCTCAACATTGTTGGTCCGAAAATCACACTTTCAATTTTTCTGCTGCCAAAATTATTCAAAAAACATCTTCCATTGGAGAACTGGATTTTCTAGAGGCATTTCACATTCATAAAAATCTTTCTGTTCTAGTTAACGATCCTAATTCCAATCCAAATTTGCCTTCGGCTTTTAGAGAAATTATGTTTTAGTTCTGGTTTCGCCAACAGATGGCGCCACTTGCTTATTCTTGTCCAGGCTTTCTCTTTATCTAATCATTATTTCCTATCTTGTTCATTTGCGGTTTTGCAGCTGAAGATGATGGTTCGGTAAAACCATCGAAACTAGTCCTGTGAAAATTTTGTAGGTATAACGCTGATTTTTGTTGTTTGACTTCTGAATTAGTAATGTTAATTATTCAGATGTTCACTTTTATGGTCAAAAAGGTCACAGGCTATGCTTATAGAACAGTTCTTCTTGAAATATTTAAAAAAAAAAGTACATATTAATGCCTGATATTCATAGAAACAGTCTTGAACGCACCTCTTGACAAGAATACTGCTGTATGTAGAAATATATATCAATGGTTTAATGAATGTAAGTGTGATGAACATGTTGAAAATTTTATTATTTTTATGCATTTTACATCTGTTAATGTTAAATTCAATTTTAGGTCAACTCCATGTCCCAATGTTAAACAAGCAGATGAATGGGGAGATCCTGCAAATTGTGAAAATGGTGATAGCTGCCCATATTGTCATACACGTACAGAACAACAATTTCATCCTGAGGTAGAGTGCAACTTGCTGTGTTTCCTACATTTAGATGTTTCAGTTAACTTTTAACTAAATGATCATTATTAAAACATTTTTCATTTTATCAAGTGAATTGATATAAATTATTAGGAAGTTTTCAAGATAGAAATGAATAGGAAATATACTTTCACAAGTATTATGCAAAGTTTCATTTTTTTATATTTGTGGGCTTTGTTTACTATCTCAGTTTTTTAATCAGATATTTAAAAAAATAAGACTTGTATCTTTTGGTCATTTTGTATTCATATAACTCTGGAAAGTTAAGATTTATTAGGAAATAAACTTTTTAAATTTTGCAGTTTTTGAAAATAATTTCTATACTCTCTTTAGATATACAAATCTACGAAGTGCAATGACATACTGCAAACAGGATACTGTCCTCGTGGACCATTCTGTGCTTTTGCTCATGTAGATAGTAAGTATTTTATAATTTTTTTGTTTGTTCATTTGTTTAAACTTTGAAGAACAAAATCTTAAGTTTTAATTTGTATTTTTCAGAGGAAATTTCTGCAGTAAGAGATCTAGGACCTGACCATACAACAGATTTAGCAGCAATATTGTCAAGTGCTCTTCCCCCATCTACAAGCAGTCAAAATCAACACATTCCTGTAAGATGTTCCATTTATGAAAATTTAGTTTTTAAAAATTGTTATCAAATAATTGTTTAGTTTTCTCATTAAATCTGAATGCCTAAAGTGTAGTTTTTGAGTATTATTTCCTTGATATAAAATTTTCAAGTTTTCTTAAACTATGTCAGCTTAATCTAATAAGAAAATAACTCTTGCGTCATTTGCTATCAACAGCAACAATAAAAAAGACAGCCAGCCAGTTCCAATGAATTAATCTAATTGACTTTCTTTTTATGTGTTGTTTTGCCTATTAATATGCAGTATATTTGCAGTGTCATTTAAATATTTTAATTCAAACTAATATTGAAATTTTTTTATCATTAAACTAAATTAAAAAATTTTTGTGTACAGTAAAATTATTTATTTATATGACATAGAAATTATTAAAATGCATGACAGATATTAACTTTCCAATAAATTTTGCATTTATGATAGTATCTTGCTAAAAATAGTAGCTTTTTCCCCATGTTGTTGATTTGGTACATTTCAAACCAACTCATTGTTCAACTGTGTGCCAGAACATGCTCTGAAAATTTATATACATCTCAGAGCATGCATCTGAAAATTGTCACTTCTAGAATTAAGAAAATATACACAACAATATCCTCTAGACATAATAGAAATACATGTATTTTTTAAGAAGCTATTGAAATTTAGTTAAATTATTATATGCTCTTTTTTAGCCATAATGGAGTTTTTGGAAAAAAATGGCCATTTATAGGTGAGGAAATAGGCAATGCTTTTTAAACAGTATCTAAAAGTATGTACAGTAATAATTTTGAAACTAGTAAATGCAATTTTTCCTTGCTGATTCAAACATAAGTTACAGATAAAATTTAGTCTTCTGGATTATGAAAAAATAATGTATCAGAATTATCTGATCTTATCTCACATAGATTCAAGATCATTCTGCTTGCAAGAACACTGTAGTCCTGAGTAATACTGATTGTAGTGATTGATGCGTGATGCACTTTATTGGTCATTAAAAAAGTTGTCCATAATACTGGTTTGGTTTTCATATGCTGAAATCTGCTTGTGATTTTCTTACAGACATGTACCGGTATATGCTGATCTGGTTCTAGTCTTTCAATTGAGGTATGCTGTTACAGGTACAGCTAGGAACTAGGACAGCACCTTTATAGTACTTTGGTGTTTCGATTATAACATCGTGCAGAAATGTTCCACATTTTCCCAGGTCATGCCATAATGTCTTTAAGATATAAAAATGAGGGACAAGTGAAAAAAATCATCCAAACAAGAAATCAAAAGAATAAAAATATGCTTTATTGAAAAAGTAGCTCCAGGAAACCTGGAGAGAAGACCAATTTCCATGTAACAGACACCTGGCAAGAAAAATCTAGTCCATGCTGACGTCAAGCAGTTGTTGAAACTCCGCAGGCCTATTCTTAATAGCATCAATTTCAGCTGTGGAGTTGTTGCAGGCGGGTAGTTACATGCTGCCAAGCATCTCTTGAGAAAGCCCCACATGTGTTCTATGGGATTTAGGTCTGAAGACTTTGTAGGCGAATTCATGCATTGAATATATTCACTCTCTGAGAACTCTGTGACAGCTGCTGTGCAATGAGATATAGCACTGTCATCCATTAAAAGCACCTATAAACAGACACATGTAGGGCAATAGAACCTCGGTATAGTAGCAAATGCCAATGACAGAACTTCTTTGGAAGATGTGGAGGTCAGTATGGGTATCAGACTTAATATCAACCCAAGCAGTAACTCCAGAACCTGGAAAATGATGCCTTTTGATGATGTTGGAGATTGATTGTAATGATCCCTTCTCTTTCTTAAGTGTGTATACATTTGTAACTGCTCAGACTAAGTTGGCTTTCGCTCTTAAAAAAAAGAAAAGCACTCTGTCCTGTTGTATATACTTCCTTTGTGTTCCCAGCACCACAGAAACCGGCATTTCCAATGAGGAGGTGTTAATGGCACACATCAAACTGGTCATCATGAATGTAGATGCATTTAAATGCAGCCTCCTGGCCATGGTTAAACGTAATATCAGACTATCAGTAGTCTGTTGCATGTGCCTTTTGCTGTCTGCCACCTGTTTCTTCTCGCTTGTAGTATAATATACCAGCCATCCCCCAACCGTTGTTGCTTATAAATGACCACTGCTGAATGCTCGTACAGCTGTTTCTGCAATTTGAAATGTTCTGCAAACTCATGAAATGACACTGTGAGTGATGTCACTATATTAGTCACACCTTGACCGTTGTAATATTTTGTTATTTAATAAATTTATTTATTATTTATTTAATTTATTGTTGAAGTGGCAACGCCATATTTGTATTATGTAACCGTTGCTCAGCAACGTGAGAAATTGTTTTAAAAATTAGATTCTGAAGTTTTACCAGCTAGTAGTAGTATGAAAGTTTTGCCACTAAAGAATTTCTTCAAATTATCTATCTTCGTGCACTAGAAATGAAATTTATGGTCTAATAAGAAGATTGCCTGTTTTATCAATTACTGCAAAATACATTACAGTCTTAATTAATTGGAGGTTCCACCGAGATACTGGAAATTAGGAGTGCAATTATCAATTTCGATGGTGCTAGTCTCCTAATCCCCAGAAAGTTGCTGAATTTTTTAGAATAAGGTTGCTAATACCAATTGCCAAGTTTGTTTATTTAAAGGAGAAACGGATTTCGGAAGTCTGGTTTTAAAGCTAGTTTTTGAAGCAGATCATTTAAAGGTTATCTTCTGTGTTTCTATAACTAGCATCCGAGAAAGAATTGTCATAACAGGATATTGCTGATCACTGAAGATAAGATAACTTTTGGTTTTCTTAAAAAAGCTTTTATTGAATTTTAATACTTTGTTTCAGAATTATAGTTTATCGTGTAAGATTTTGTTTAAAATAACTGACACTAAAAATATTCAGCTTAAATTTGTAATTGATATTTGTGGTAAAGAAGTATTTTGAAATTAATTATTTATGCTTTACTTTTAATTGTATTGAATTTTTATTGATAAATGATATCTGTAAGCCATCCCGGCATTTATAAAAAAAAAGAACTGCTAGCTGAGTTTTTGAATTTATTGCCAAGCAGGTGCGTGAAAATAAGTAGCAACGTCAAACTGAATTAGTGTGATTTGATTATACTGCAGAATTGGCAAAAGTCTTCTTAGTTCTCGCCATCCAGGCGTGTGATAGATAGTAACGTCATCCCGGCGTATTACAGATTGTATATTCTAAAAGGTGTATTGCCAAACTGACAAAAATTGTTTCTGTTATCGCCAACCAGGCGTGGAGATGGATAGTAAAATCGTCAAACTGACGTGGGTAATTGCCTAACTGGCAAAGGTGTTTATATAGTTAAAGCTAACGAGGCTTGTGAATAGTGAGTTAAAACGTCAACCCGACGTAGTATTATATTATTTTGTGCCAACCTGGCAAAGTTGTTTAAGTAATTCTCTCCAGTTGGTTAGTGTGAATTTCGTATTTGAGAAATTAAGTCTCGCCAGAAATTATACATTTTTAATACAAGTACAATCTTTTAGATTCTATTTCAAAAGGAAGGCTAATAAAGGTAACTTGTGTCAACATGTCATTCTTAGCTAGGAGTAAAAAACAGGATTTAAAAGTACTAGCAGAAGAATTAATACAAGTACAATCTTTTAGATTCTATTTCAAAAGGAAGGCTAATAAAGGTAACTTGTGTCAACATGTCATTCTTAGCTAGGAGTAAAAAACAGGATTTAAAAGTACTAGCAGAAGAATTAGGTTTAACCGTGAAACCCGAATTTAAGATTGCTCAGTTGCATAAACTGATTACTGAAAGTCCCAGTTATGATGAGGAGTTTACTCGAGAACTACTGGCTGCAATTAGAGAAGAAAGGGAACAAAAGGAAAAACGCGAAAGAGAAGAAAGAGAAAAGGAACACGAAAGAGGAAAAAAAAAGAGAAGAAAGGGAAAGAAAAGAAGAGCGAATTAGAGCCTTTGAGCTACAGAAACTTCAGTTGGAAGCAATGGCTGCAACAGCACAGCCGGTAGAAACTACTCAGTTACCTGAGCAGCCTTTAAAAGTCAGAATTCACGATGTCGTGCCACGTTTCAACCCTAAAGAAGATGAAATAAGTTTATTTCTGGTGTTATTTGAGCTTCAAGATAAAATAATGAATATACCTGCTGAAAATCAAGTGACTCAACTTATTTCATTGCTGCCTCCTGATATCGTTCAGCTTATTGCTAGAGAACCAGAAGACACAAAAAGGTATGAATATGTAAAATCTTTACTGTTACAATGATTTAAATTAAGTGCGAAAAAATTTCGACAACTATTTAACAAACACCAAAAATCTACTGAAAGTACTTGGTATGATTTCTACTATGAATTGAAGCATTATTTAGAAGGATGGCTTAACGGATTAAACATTAAAACTTTTGAACAGCTAAAAAATCTCATGCTGGAGGATCAAATTAAAAAGCGTACTTCTCCTAATTTCAAAGAATGTTTTATGAATCAATGGACAACCATCATTTCACCTACTGAAATGGTTAAAAAAATGGAAGATGTGAGAAAAACAATAAAATCGAAATTTTTTGCCAATCAGACTGAGAAAATTAACAAAGGATAATTTAAACCATGTTATGATAATTTTGTGAATAAAATAGAGCATCCGCCTCATTTTAAGCATTCTGATAGATGGGATGATTCAAAATACCAGAAAGATCATCGACAAAGAAATCAGTTCCAAAACAAAAACCAAGAAAATTTATCTGACGAAAGATATCGACCACGTTGTTTCGAGTCATACGAACATTTTAAGCCTCAGTGCCCTCACTTAAAACCAAATGAAAAGGTAAATTGCGTATTTTCGAATGATGATTTGTTAAAGACGTATACAATTAATGGTTTAGTTAATGGGTATGAAATGCCTATTCTTTGAGACACAGGAGCCACAGTAGATGTTATATCTCGAAAATATGTAGATAATGCAAAAATGATTGGAGAACATGTCTGGGTACAATATCTCTTACTTTACTCTTAAATGACCATTTAGTGTGTCTACCGTTAGCTGAAGTTGAAATTAATTGTGAACTTGGTCATATAAAGACAAAGGCAGCTGTTGTTACAAATTATGCTGGCAGATATGTATTGGGTAACAAAACTGCTCAGTTGTTCAAAGATAAACAATTCTTAAATTTAGAAAGGATAAATGTGGTTTTGACACGATCTCAAGTAAAATGATCTCGTGAAGGAGATCGAAGTAGAGACACCAAAATGGGGAACAAAGAAGAACTGTCTGTTATTGAGACTGATGAAGATATTTTACCGCAAGCTGATGAGGAAGACAAAGAAATTAAGAAAATAATTAATGTTAATTCAAAGGAATCAATTGAATCTGAGCATCAAAGCAGAGATCTAGCCTCATTGCTTAGCGAAGCTAAAAGTGAAAATTTCAGAAATGATTTCAAAGTAAAGGAGAATGGGCTGTTGATGAAAAAGAAATTAGATAAAAATGGAAATGAAAGGGAATTAATTGTTATTCCTGAAAGATATAGGGATCAAAGGCAGAACTATTCGTCTTTGATGCAGATCCAAACAAATAATGGTGCTAAAACTCAGGGTAATTTGGTCATTACTCACCCTCCTAACAGTCAAGCCTCTGTCAAGACATCACAGAAATTAGACAAACAATCTAAGCCTTCATCTACTGATGAGAAAACTGAAATTATTAATATAAAAGCTGACTCGCCTTGTTCACCTGGTGATTCACCTTTTATGGATAGTGTGTGTGATTATTCCTCTACAAGTTCATCAGTTCCTTTTTCCCCAAAAAGTAAAGATGTGTTTGGCAATTTGTTAGCAGCAGATCAAAGAACTTATAAAGGAACTCATGAAGGTGCTTCTAATGGTAAGAAATTAAAAATACATTCAGAATCTATTCACGCGTCAGAAAACTTAGCAAAGAGGCACAAACATGATAAAGGGTACTCAAATTTGCCACATTCAATGAGAGTGCAAGTAGCAGATAAGAACAAAGGTTCATCTCACAAAGAGCAGAACTATCTGACAAGAAAGAACTGACAAAATTAAACGATTCTCAGTTAAAAGTTCTAGATGAATTGCCAAGTTCTGGAGTTGAGATGCAAGTCAAGGAGAAGTTTTTAAAGAAACTAAACAGACTAGAGAGAGTTGTTGAAGAAGTAAAACTGCCTCAAAATCATCTATTACACTCACCTGATTTCAATAAGGCATTTATTTTGCAAATTTATGTTTCAGACTCTGGTATGGGTGTCATTTTAGCTTAAAAAGATGAACGAGACAATGAACATCAAGTATTATACCTCGGTACAGTTTACAGAAACTGAAAAAAATACTCTACCACAGAAAAGGAATGTGCCATCATAGTATTTGATGCAGAGAAACCTCAATGTTATTTAGACGGGCATACTAAATTCCTCATCATGACAGATCATAATCCCCTAGTTTGGCTAAAAAATAATGTGAGTCTCTAAATCCACAACTTATGAGATGGGCACTAGTACTACAACCCTACAATAACACAGCCGTTCATCAAAGTGGTAAAAACCATAAAAATGTAGACGCATTAAGTCGTACACCCTGGCCTAATTAAATAATTTGTTTCTCTATCTAGATTTTTAAAAAATTTTGTTCCTTCCTCTCTTCCTCAGTGTATGTTATTATGTTATTTCTTGTATTTCAATTCTGTATTTTGCTGATATTGCTGTTTTGGGGGAAGGGAAAAAAAAAAGTAAACTTTAATTTGAGGTTGTAATATCTTGTTATTTAATAAATTTATTTATTATTTAATTAATTTATTGTTGAAGTGGCAATGCCATATTTGTGTTATGTACCCGTTGCTCAGCAATGTGAGAAATTGTTTTAAAAATTAGATTCGGAAGTTTTACCAACTAGTAGTAGTATGAAAATTTTGCCACTAAAGAATTTTCTTTAAATTATCTATCTCCGTGAACTAGAAATAAAATTTATTGTCTAATAAGAAGATTGTGATTGCCTGTTTTTGTCAATTACTGTAAAATACATTACAGTGTCTTCCAGATTTCCCTTATAGCATGACCCGGACATTCATCCAAATGATATCTTTTGAATTACGTGTTAGCGGTAGTACATACATATCACATTGTAGTTGAAATCATTGTATGTTGTGCAATAACTTGCACGAAATTGCTTAGCATACACCATCTGTATGCTTTATACACTTCTGGGGGGGAGCAAGGTCTCTCACCTTCTTACCCTACTACCAGCCTCTTGAAAGAATTTCAGCTCACCATGTATTTTGAGTGCCACCTTGCTGCACACGTGCAGTATATACTTGCAAACATTCATGCTGTCTCTGAGATTCAAACCTATTCCTTTCAGTACTGTAATCAGCATCACTAACCACACTGTACTGGCTTTGACTGATATGTTGTCATAAAAAGCATGTTAGGAACCTCTTTAACACTTTTGCTGCCAATCAAACATAGGCACTTAATGTTATCACTTTATAGCTTTTAATGGCCCAACATGTTGTGAGGTATATGTAAATTCAGTTATGAATGAGTGATTTATAGAAATGCATCTGCATTAATTCTCCCCACAGGATAGTCAAGAAGAAACATCTGTTCAAAAATCAGATCAATCTACAAGTGAACCGGATCAACAAAATGTAACACGTACAACAAATTCTTTACCGGAAGTTCAGGTAAGAAGACATCTCTACATAATAATATTCATTTAAAAAGTAAAAGCAGTGTACTATAATAAATTTAAGCAAACCATTATGTGAATTGTTAATTCATTGTGTTTAAAACTATAGCCTCGGTTTGAGTCTACATTTCTACACTTGGATTATCTTTAGTTATATCACATTTAGTATTTTCCAATTATTTGCATTACACAATTTCAACATTTCACTAAAACTGTCATGTTTTTGTCATATTTTCAAATATATGTAAAATATATAGGCAAGCAATGCAGGCATATACCACACACGTTTGACTATTCATGGAACCATATTTTAAACAGAGTAAAAGTGTGAATATCAGCCATATAGATTCCCCCACTCAAAAAATTTTTTTCCTTGTAAAATGCAAATGTTATATAGTGTTTCTTTAATTCTTTTTTATTACTTTTTATAAATAGAACAATACTATATGAACAATAGGTACCTATGAGCCATAAAGGTAACCAAAGAAACATTTTGCACCAGTACATAAAGTTAATGGGTGCTTTTGATCACGTTAGGGATAGTCAGAAAGTTTCTGTCTCCCAGTCTTTTCCCCATCGTCCTCTTTTGAGCTTAGTTTTATTCAGTGACCCCTAATCTTTCAATAATGATGTATGGTTTGATTATGATGTGTTGATGCAAAATAAACTGGAAAAAAATTTTTTTTAGATAATTATTATACCTTATTTGCATTGCATCAAATTATTGACCGATTCCTCAGAGAAACAGATTGGCTATAGTATTTTAATTAGCAATGAACCTGACTACAGCGTAACTCGTGCTGTGGCATATGTTGAAAGAACATCTTCACTGCTAGATAGCACAGCAGATACAAATTTGCATTCATGCTTGTGCAATTAACAGCAACTATACTATCAAAATCACCCCACTGCAGTGAGTAGCGCTAAAAGTCCTCAACTGAAGGGAATATATCATTCAATATCATTATAGCAACTCCTTATTATATTTTCTTTAATCTTAAGACAGTATAACCTCAGTGAGAAAATTAAATTTATCTTGCACAGAAAAGTTATTTATTTTTATTATTGCAGAAACAAAAAAATAATAATAATAATATTGTCAAGTTTTACGTTGAAGTATTCAGATTGAAAGAATATCCAGTATTGACAAAACTGATTAAACCTTTTTACTTTCTTACGATGTAAAGGAAGTATACCCAAATACGATACCAAAATTCTCCTTGTACGATGTAAAGGAAGTATTATAATTGCGGAGAATTTTGGGTATCGTATTTCAACAAAAATGACCATTTCAATCGCTCTTGAAACCATTTGAATGATAGTTTTGAGTGAGACAGAATCAAGGACTATTTTTGCCGAAAAGGATTGTAAAATGGATTCAAAAGATACTTTTTCTTGGCATCTGTATATACATACGTATGTATCTCACACAACTTGAGAATGAGTAGCCATAGAAAGTTGAAATTTTGCACATGGGACTGTTATTACATGTAGTTTTGCACCTCCCTTTTTCGTCGCAGTCAGCTGTGCTAATTAAATATATATATTTATATATTCTCACTCAGTTACTTGGCTTGATGAGCTTAGTATTTTTATTCTGATATGTTGGTAAACTGTGCATTTTTCTGCTTTAAAAGTGATTGAATTATATGTTAAGGTTTTTATGCCTTTAGTTAATCTGCGTGGAACAGTTGTAGAATTATCAACAATTTTAAAGTGACGAGTTAAGCTTAATGAAATGCCCCATTTGTTTACATTTTAAACTCAATGAATGAATGAATTAAGTGAGTTTCTGAACGTTCACTATCTTTTTGCTGAATGGGACCAAAAGAAAACTCCCAGTTTTGCGCACCGAAAAGTCTGCCTTCTTGCCCGCTAGCCGAATTCCTGGTTTTTCCGTAGAAACTGTAATTTTAATTGTTAAAAAAAAGTTTGTTTTAACTATACTTGATATTTTATATTTTTCTGTATTTTACAACTTTTAATGAAAATGTTTTGAGTTTTTCTGTATTTTTGCTTTGCCGCAAAGTGGGAACTGAATTAATTGAATGAGAAATAAAATTTGAGGAAATAAGTTTAAAGGTGAAGTGCAGCAAAAACATCTATAATTTAATAAGCCATACAAGGAAGTCGTGGTGTCCACATCAGATTTTTTAAATTTGCTTCTGTGGAATGGACAGCTTTGCCTTTTTATGTATATATATTTATTTCCTGAATCATTCTCTTCTTTCTAGCAGTTCCTAATCACCACATATTTGTATGCATACTGTGAGGTTTTATTCAATATTTAAAGAGTTAAGCTGTTGTCTACTTCATCAAAATATCTTGCTGATCATGCTGAATTTTCATTGTTAGTCAAACAAAAATAAATAAATGCAGCAGTTTCTAGAAGGTACACCCCCCCCAAAAAAAAAGAGCTAGTGAAAATATACATGCATGCATGTATATAAGTGCTTCATGACAATATTCAAAATTATCTGAAATTAGTTGGATTTTTACTGCACAATTTTTCAGGATTTTTTAAGTGGAGTCACAGTCAGCCCTGCAGGGTTCGTACGGTCCTTAAAAGTCCTTAAATTTTTCAAAAATGATTTTTGGTCCTTAAAAGTCTTTAATTTTGGTCAAAATGAATAAACGGTCCTTAATTTTGCTCATCTGACATTTCTTATCATTTCTAATGACCGCCATTATAAGTGTGAAATGTGATTTCTCAGGAATATGGAATTAAAATTACACGGCTCTTAACCAATCTGTTGGCGGATTTGCATTACAAACGATAAAAAAAAAAAACATTAGCTACCCTAGACGAAAGTATCGGGTGTCTGATTGGCTATTTACCCAATCTTTCGAAACAGGTGTTATCCATAAATTTAGGCAGATTGTGATGAAAGCATGAAGCCGGAAGTTCTTTAAGAGGCGAAAAGTGATGATGAAGGTGCTCGAGGAAAAAAAAAGGGGGGGGATTCTGAAAATATTTGCCAAAATTAGAACAATTCCAACCTGGAAGGCCACAACCCCTCCGACGCCAATAGGAACGAGATGCCTGGAAAGTGCATTTTCAATAAACTGTGGCTTCATCAAGCTGACTACAAAGACTGGATATTGATGGATGACAATCCTTATAAAGCTAAATGTGGTCTTTGTCTGAAACAAATTGAAATTTCTAGAATGGGAGAGTCAGCGCTGAAAATTCACATGAAAGCTAAGTTTCGTTTTATCATTTCAATTTGTTTTTACACGGTTTTTGCTTAGCTTAATTTCTGTGTTTGTTTCAATTAAGCCATAAATTAATTTTTGATCACCTTCTACGGAGTTTATTCTCTTTTGCACATATATGTATGGGATATCGGGATTATGAGTTTATTTCTGCAGAGGGTTCGATTTCGCGGGAAATCTATTGTCTCCATTTCGATTTTAGGTCGCCAAGGGCAAATTCGGTAACGCTAGCCGAAAAAAGTGAAGTTCGGAAATACATTTTGAAGCTTCAATAGACAATTAAGTATTTGGTTTAATCCTATGCACAAGGTATCCATTGCATAAGGGATTTGGCTACTTTTGGCAACTTTATGATGAGCAGTAAACGGGACATATACGATGAGTAGTTAAACGAGTCATTTTGGTGTTGGCGATAATTTTCAAAATTGCACCAAGTCTGCACCGTATACTAGAATTTTATTAAGTTTTTTATAAAGATCAACCGAATACTGCTTTCAGAAGAATGTTATTGAATTTTAATATCGCATCAGTTATCCAAATAGTGCTGGTCGATATAAAACTTCATTGTGATAATGATTGAAATTATCTTTCGTTATTAAGCTAATTTCACCTATTTATAACTAGAAATTAAAATAAAAGCTAAATCCTGAATAAAAAGTCAGTGTTAAAATGATAATGAAAAATAAAAGAAACGGAAGATTAATAAATTAAAAGAAAATGACCGATAAAGCGGAATGGTTGCTACAACATGGAGAAAATGTGTTCATGGTATTGCCAATATAGCATTCTTATGGCAATTTTAGCGATGTAACGGAATCTCTGCAGGAATGCTTGCCTAGAATATTTCGCAATGTCGCAATTTTTTATCGATATAGTACATTTTTTAAGTGTTAATATGTAGTGGCGTAAGAAAAATTCATACATTTTTGTTTAACAATAAAACCAATTATTGCAGAATTTTTATCTTTGCTCCATCATCTGATAGATAAAGAAATAATGTTTTAATTAAAATTTTCTGCTGTGAAGTTCTGCTGTTATCACTTGTTGCAAAATGTCCCAGCAGTTGAAAGAGCCATTGAAATATGGGATGACTTGCTACTATACGTTAAAAAAGTTGAAATGAGGCAGTTTAAAAAAAAATCATTGAAATCCTTCTCAAATATTTTGGAGGCAACTAAGGATAAAACATTTCTTATAAAATTAAATTTTTTTCTCTCTCTGTCGAAAATACTATTGTGTTTCCTTGAATATTATCAAAGCAATAAACCACTTATTTTCTTTTTTGCTGAAGATATCTTAAAACTTGTAAATGATTGCTTTTAGCACTTTAAATCCATCAGCGTTATCAAAATAAGGATTTAAAAATTAAACTATTGTATTTCAGTTTGTATTTCAGTGGCGTCTTTAAGAAATATAGAACTATATAAACTTGCGCAATCTTGAAATCAGCGCGTACGCTATATTTGGCGCACTGTTAAATGGACGTGTTTCCTAGATTTGGTGCTTTTGCGCATACATATTCGCTGCAATTTTTTTACGGCCCTTGAAACCGAATAATACGGAAAATCTTTATAAATTTAATTTTAATGATCCAAATTGTTATAATGATAAAAGTAAAGTTTATTTGGGATTCATTGCTGAGCAGCTAATGAATGATAAATGCCGCAAGAAGGACATTTCACAAGCTGCAAGTTTTGCATTGAAACAAGGTCAACAATGTGTCTTAACAATGGTACAACACTTAATGGCTAAATGTCCAATAAATTATTCTCTTATTCGAAATGCATCTTGTATAGACCCACAGTTGATGGCTAAAAGTCCAGGAAAAACCCAGAACAAAATGAAAATAGTTCTAACCGTATTAACATGGAATAAACATGTTTTACAAGATAATTGTGATGAAATTCTGCTGCAGTTTGGAGAGATTCTAGACAAAGTAGTTAAGACAAATTTACATGAATTTTCTACTTTTGATTCTCAAAAATCTTTCTCTTGACACATTTCTCACTCCTTATTTTCATGATTTTCACTATTCTAAAGTATGGAAAATAGTGAAAATGATTCTTATCTTGTCACATGGACAGGCCTTTGTGGAAAGGGGCTTCTCTGTAAATGAAGCAGTTGAAATTGAAAATTTAAGTGACTCATCACACATTTCTCAACGCACAGTATTTGATTATTTAAAATTTTCTGGAGGTAATTCTTAATATCGAAATTAATAAAGAAATAAGATCAGCAGCAGCAGCTTCGATAGATGCTTTTAGCAGATGAAGCCGAGACCAGCAGGAACATTGATTTGTTTATCAAAACAAATGAACTTAGAAGAATAGTTAAAGAAAAGGAAATAGACATAAATAAATTAGATGTTAAAATATCTGAAAAATTTCAGATTTTAAAAAAGCATAAATGTTTTGTATCTTTTATTGCATAGTTTATTATTCTAGTATCTTTCAGAAAACCAAAGAAATAAATTGTATGTTTACAAATCTGTTATTTTAATCTGCAAAATATTCTTACATTGCAATTATAATAGTAGTTGACTGTGTTTAAATAAATATCAAATAAGTTAAATAATAATCATGTAAATCTCTAAAATATCTGTGGCTGTTATTAGTGTGAAATACACTTATACAAGTTTTTCAAGAAATTATGTTCTTAATTTAATGTTATCTACTTCATAACTTATAGGGGGTTAGTTTAATTTTCAAATTTGTTTTATGTTAAGTATTAAATTGAATTTATTTAATAGTGCATAATACACACTTCTGTTAGTTTCTTAAAGTGAAATTACAAGCATGTAGTCAGTTGTATGGATAATTGATTTATTCTATTTTTTTTTTTTTTTTTTTTTTTTTTTTTTTCCTTGATAGGTCCTTAATTTTTTCTTTGATGGTCCTTAAAAGTCCTTAATTTTCATGTAAGGAAATGTGTACGAACCCTGTCCTGCCACTTTTATTTTTGCTAATGGTTTCATTCATTTGTTTGCATTTTAATGAGAGCATTTAGTAGATGCAGTTTACTGCAAATTGATAAATTTCAAAAGTATGTGAGCAGTGTTTATAAGCAAAAGGTATGTCAGCCTCCATATCTTGTCTTGCAAATGGTTTACAGCTTGTGGTTGCAAGAATAATTTATAGCTGATATGCTTAGCTATATCTTTCGAGCATATATAGGAAGAACTTCTTTCTTGCTTGTGCATAGACCAGCCAGTTTTTGATCTCTTTAACATTATTAGATATTTTAACTTTGTGACTGGTTACCACTTAAGAAACCTTAAAGTAACATGTAGCCATCCCCCACCAATGGCCAAACAAAAAATTGATAACTCATGGATACAAAAAGTGCCCACATGAACCCTCTTTTAAAAAAAAGTCTCCTCATGGATACATTCCTTTCCATAGGCAGATAGTTCTTAAGTTGTTATGCCTTAATAGGTTAACCAACCGAATATGCAGCTGTTGTTTTTGATTCTGCATTTTAATCCAGTTAATGTACGTTTTTTTCATATGTAATTCTTGACTGAACTATAAAAGGATTTCTTATGTTAAATGTGTGGAATTATCTATATGTAAAGTTCTGTTTATTGTATATTTAACTTTTAGCGCTCCGCTGCAGAGCCAAATGTTTTTAACTTCGCTGGCTCCGCTACAGGCCCTCTGGCATTTGTTCCGCGGCTCCGTAGGCAAAGCCAAATGTTTTTAGCATGATTACGCATAAGATGCTGCTGAATCGTCGGCGTTGACAATTGTTATCTGTAGTTAAAACATGCTTGGTCTCTGGACCATTACAATTAAACCATTTTTTGACCTTTTGTATGGTTAGCAACATGGAAAAAAATAATCATTATCATGAGAATTTAGAGTTGAGTAGTAGTGAAGACGTGTTTGATTTTCAAGTGTTAAAAGATATTGCAAAAGACAGTGTTGATTATAATTCTGACACTTCAAGTAATGGTTCCAAAATTGTACTACCAAGGAGATGGCGAATGAGAATTTATTGAAAGTGAAGATGAAGATTTACAGGAATACTTTGATGTGACACTTGCCCAAGTAAAGCAGGATGCACATGGGAGATGGTTTCCAAAGATATCACACCATGTTGAATTACAAAATTTAAAATTTATCTTTCATTTACAAGAAGAAAGTGCATATGTATAAAATAAATAAAATTAAAAACATTCACAAGCACCTGTAATTCTTCTCACCTAAAATAAGGCTCAGTTTCGCTCGTTCCGCTGCGAAAATGTGCCAGAGGTGCTGGTAGGCAGTGGTACAAAAATGTGCGGAGTGCTAAGTGTTAACTTAATATGTTAATTAACACAATTTTATGAAAATGCTTAAAAGATTGAATGAAAAAAATCAGTTTATTGCTGCATAAATATATCTTTTTTCCCTTCCTAGTCATCTAATACCCTTGATCATTATACTTCCTCCAATCACCCTTTACCTACTCCAATTAGTAGACCACGATCGTACAGTTCCTCGACAAATCATTCTGGTGAATCAATGCCTCATTATCCAAAAGCACCAGGTTCTGAAAGGGAAGATAGAGAGGTAAGTTTGATTTTTAAAATATTTTTTATTAGAGAGCTGATTTGACATAATTTTCGTTAAAATTAGTTTAAAAATTCTTTTGTTTGATTTTTTATGGAAAATTCAAAGCTGTTAATTTTTGCGTATGAAAACGATTTATACAAAAGCATAATAGTGTTCATATATAAGTATTTTAAATTTAGTAAAGTATATTATTATATAGTTGCCTGTTTTATCAAAGCTCCAGAAGAGTCAGCTTTGCACAGTTCACAAATGTTTTGAATGAAAATTTCAACAGTAAATTTTTTAGATTAAAATCCTATAATTTTAATAAATCAATTAAAATTCTCTGTAGTTCATAGTACTGCACTAAGTTGTTCATACAGGTACTTCAAAATCAAGGGAATCTTCATTTAACAGAATTTTTTTTAAAAAGGAAGGAAATGTATAATTGTAATGTGATAAATTATTTTGTATTAGCACACTTGAAGACCTCAACGCAGCTAACTTTTTTTTTTTTTTTTTCCCCACCCACGATGTGTTAATTCTTTTATGGCATAATACCAGGTTCATATATCAGGCCTTAGCGACTATGACCTGCGGGTCATTAAGTGACTGATTTCATAATTTCAAGTGGTTGACGAGTTCTGAAAATAAAGTATAATATATTAAATAGATTGTAAAACAATAAATATGAAATGAACATTTGAAGAATAAAGCAATAAGATTAAGAATTATTCCATAAAAAAAACAAACTGAAGATGAGCAATAACATTTTTGTTTGATTACAAAGTTGCAGTAATGAGCAGGCATTGTAAAATAATTTTAAGGAGAATTTGTTAGGTTTGGCAATGTTGATCCATAATTTCTATCTGTCAACACTGGTGTCATACTCTGTTTTCTCATATTACTGTCAGTTGTAGTACTTGTTCAGTGATGCAACTAATTGAAATAATTATCATTATTTTAAAACAAATTATTACCATAGACAAACCAAAAGCAAAAGAGAGATTATTTTGAGATGTGTCAAAAGAAAAATATGGATTTATTGAAGAATGATGTATGTGTATAATTACCATAAGAACTTAACATTATTGAACATTTTTCTTCGAAAACTTTAAAATGTGAATCAAATGCCAAATGAACAGATATCTAAATCCATTGCTTAATGTGTATTAAATTTTAAGAAACAAAATTAATTGTTCAAGAGTTGCATTATTAGCCACAATCATGCTACATTTGCCAGTTTTGTTGCAGCTCTTCGCACTTGGTATGAACGAAGAACCATTTGCTGACAGCAGATTATTGAAAACGCTGTTATAAATTGTTCTGAACTCTTTTAAAGGCTCGCAAATAAAAAAACAAGTCTTTGAGAGCAATATCAGCTAAAACAGTTCAGTGCTGAAAGTATGGCCGAAAATAAAGATAGCAGGCCAAAAATGATTTGTTAACAACTGACATAATTAGCATGGCACTTGAATTGAAAGTATCGATGTAAATATTATGGATAAGTATGCAATTATTATTATAAAGAAGAAATAGTTCAAAAGTCATTGAAGAAGTTTGCAATCTTACTTCTGTAAATGACATGGCCAAAGGCAATGACATTTTCCTTCAAAAACAAGAATTTGCTAATTTAAAAAATGGTCAAGTAATTGATTTAAAAAGTAAAATGTTTTTATAACAATAGATGGTCTCCAGCTATGAGAGGAAAAATTTGTTGGATATGTGAAACTAATAGAAATTGAACTTGGCTCCTCACTTTTATCATTTCATTATTATTATGCATGAAGAAAATTTATTTGCAAGGGCATCTTTGCAGCAATGTAAAGTTAAGATCATAAACATGATAGTAGCATGATCAGCCATTAGTACACAAGCACATCGGAGCTTTTTTGAAGGAAATTTAATCAAAATGTAGAGATATTGCATTCTGTTGCATTCAGAATGATGATAGGCTTCCTGAAATATTGTGAACATATTTTCAGACTCGGTGATAAAGAATGGTTTTTAAGACTTTTTTTCTTAACAAATATAATGAACAGTTATAATGTTTTTAACATACCGAGGAAATAACCACACAGTTTTGAAAATATATAAGGAATGGAAGAGGGTTTTTTTTTTTTTTTTTTTTTTTTTTTTTTTTTTTTTTTTTTTGAAATAGACTTCAAGAAAAGAAATTGGAAAAAATTGTTTCTTTCCTTTCTTAAAAGGGTAATATGAAAAAGAAAAATATTGATGATAGCAATATTAATAACTGTAAAAGTTAGATTCGGTGAATCAAAAGTGAATTTGAAATTCGATTTCAAATTTTTGAAAAAGATTGAAGACTCAGGTGCAAAGTACTTCTGCAGGCTCTTAGGCTGGGAAAGCCACATCCTGTGTGTAGCGTCGTGTGGAAAAGCATATCTTTTCTGGCATAACATAGTGTAGTTCATTACTGAGAGAAAAAAATTCGCGTGATAAGCAACGAATGAGCCTTATGCATATACAGATCTAGGAGTCAGTCAATCATAAGCTGGAGATGTCAAGAAGCAATAAAAATGGCAATACTGTAGGGAAAGGCATATCTTAGATGTTGCATGCTGCTGCTGTCACGGCTTCCGGTGCTCAAATGAAGGTAGAATGAATTGAAGAGAAGGTCTATAGCTGGGAGGAGCTACTGGGTCACATGGTCCAATGGTCGACCTGGAATAAGAGTGCATAGTCTTGCTCGTCAGGCATTGGTTGGGGGCGGGGCTAAATTACAAATCTTACTTAGCAAAAATTCAAAGTTACAGAACAATTATAAGTGGTAAAAATTAAAACAATACGTGTGGTAATAAAAGGGTGCTGAGATAATATAGGTTGGCCTAAATATCTATTGTGGGAGAAAACTGGATAATACAAGATAATTTTGTAAAGCATGGTAGAGAAAATAAAAGTAGTGCATGGTGTTAAATGTAGATGGCAACACTTGTGTATGTCTTAAAAAGAACCTAAAAATAGTATTAAAAAGTGCAATTAACGATGAGAAAAATTGATTAAAAACATGGGATAATGACTCTAGAAATGAAAATACAGCAAGGTGGAGTACTGCTCCGGGTCTTTTTTTGTTTTCATCATTAGTGTAGTTGTAGTTCAATCTAGGAATGAAACTATTATTGACCTTTTTTGATGATGTTGAAGAATTTTTTTGCAATGCAAATGCTGAGGCTATCAATGTTCAATTCGTTATGGATGGCCTCATTTCTGAAAAATCAGGGGCTGTTGGAAATTCTTCTTAAAGTGATATTCTGGCATTGCTGGATTTTAAGCATATTGGTTTTGCATACATAACCCCAGACAGGACAGGCGTAAGTAACAATTCGTCGCAGCATGGATCGGAATGGTCAAGTAATGAAGTTTGTTTTGGATAGATAGAACAGAGTTTCGGGCAATTAAGGGGTTGAGTAATGCTCTAGTACCCTGGAACTTATTCAAAATATATGTGATGTGTGGGGTCCAAGTGAGTCTTTGGACTAAAATGACACCGAGGTATTTAACTTGCTTGGTCCAGGGAATGTTGACATCGTACATCTTGAGGGTGATATTCAGGTAAAAATTATTTCTTTTTTTAGTGAAGTACATAGCTTCAGATTTTTCCATGTTTGTTTTGATCTTCTCTTTGATCATCCAGGTCTCTAGTGCATGGATGTGTTCTTGTAATTTTTGTATGACTGCGGCCATGGAGCGTCTTGATAGAGGATCGCAATATCATCTGCATAAATTGCTAGTGTTGTGAGGGATGTCATTCGTATAAATTGAAAATAAGGTGGGCGAAAGTAAACTTCTTGGAGGCAAGCCGGCGAAAGTTACTTTTCGTGTAGAGTGATGAGTACTGTTATAACAAACGACAAAGTGTCTATCGTAAAGATAGGAATTAATGATGTTTATGATGTAATCTGGGAAACCCAGAGTGATTAATTTGTAGGCGAGGCCCTGTAACCATACACAGTCGAAGGCTTTCGAATATCAAGGAAAAGAGCTCCTGTAATGAGTCTTTTCTTGAATCTTTCTGCTATCATTTCAGTGACACGATACAGTTAGTGCGGGGTGGAATGTTTACTTCTGAACCCATATTGCTGAGGGATGAGGATGTTATTGTCCTTTAAGAAGTCTTGTATTCTTTTCAGTATGACAGCTTCAGCTATTTTATTTAGGGTCGATAATAAGCTTATCGGCCTGTACGGTGTAGCCAGGGTGGGATCCTTTCCTGGTTTTAGGATCGGTGCGATGATAGCTGTGTTCCAATTGGCTGAAAAATACTGCAGTCTTAGCATGGCGTTCAGGAGGTTGGTGAACTTGCATAACATTTATACTACCATCATTCGTTTTGTTGCTTATCTTATCCAATCCGGGGCTTTTCCGTTTTTTTTCTCTTCTCGATATATTTAATAACCTCTGATGGCATTATTAAGGGTTTGTTGTTTATGTGTGTTTTTGTGTGGAATTGTGTGATGAGGGATGTAACTGAGTGTTCTGTTTGAGGGTTGGAAATGTTGTGAGTGCGAAATTGAGAAGCATAGTTATCTGCTATAGACTCAGCTTTCTCAAAATCGGTATAGGTGATCCCGTTGAGGCCGTTAATAGGCGGAATATTAATGTTGCGTCCTTTAAATTTAGAAACAGCTCTCCACAGTGAATTATCATCTGTGGATAGTGATTCTAAATGTCTGGCCCAGTTGAGTTGTTTATGTTTTTTTAATAGAGTTCTGACTTGTTGGTTTAGTTGATTCAGTAAAGTTTTGTCCGTGGGACATCTGAATCGTGGCCATTGCTTGCGTACATGATTTCTGTTTCTGATCAGATCATAGATGGCACTATCCTTATATCTCTTGTCTGTTCTCATGGTTTTACAGTTTTTTAATAGAGCATCGTGGAGTTCATCAGTAAATTCTTGAGTGAAAGCATCTAACTCATCCCTCGATTGTATCGTGGTTGAAGGGTACTGAGTGTTGCTGAGAGCTTTGGCATATCCTGCCCAGTTCGTAATAAGGGCTGTTTTGTGTGGTGTATTTTAGGAGTCGCTAGAAATTTCCATCATCGCAGGATTATGGTCTGATGAGAATTCTGCCAGACTTTCAACATAACTCAGAGGGTTAATGTTTTTTAAGATGAAAAAGTCCATAATTGATGGTTTACGTATCCCACAGTGTGTTGGTTTATCTGGAACTGTGAGATTAATATTGGCCACTTGGGCAGCATTGTGAATAATGCGTCCATGTGGATTAATATTCCAGCAATTCCATGCACGGTGGTGTGCGTTAAAATCTCCACCTATAATGACTTGATTGTTTATGTTTAATAATGTTTGTAAATCTGCTTTCGCAGTATTTACAGGTGTGTATAGGAAAATAGGTGGAGATGTTTGTGAGTGGTCGTGAAGTGTTTGGCGTGAGTGTAATAGTTAGGGCTTCAATTGCTAAAAGCTGTGGTAATGGAGTGACATAATGAGGAATGGAGCGCTTAATTAAAATAAGCAGACATCCTCTTACGTTACCTCTTGGTGCATATCTTCCATCTGTGGGTCTGTCCCAGCGATGAGTTTCATAGTTGCAAGCTCTGAAATAATTTTGAGGGCCAAGCATGTGTTCTTGTAGGAGTAAAATATCAGGGGAAACTTCATGTAAAACCCTTAAGCTCGTAGGCTTTTTGGAGCAATCCATTTGCATTCCAAGTGATAACAGTGAGAGGCATATTATGATTACTCTGACACATTATTATGGATTTCATTAACAATTTCGTAAAACATAAAAAGTTTTATCAACTGGATCGGATACGTTTTTGAGTTAGGTAAATAATTCTTAAAGATATTGTTCATTAGTCTGATATTACTAATTCCTAAAATATTATTAAATTCAGATACATTTTTCATAAAACTAAGAAATTCAGAGCCATGTGGCTTCTCCTGATTATTTATTATGCATGACATTTTCATTAGCTTTATAATTAGATTTATTGCCTTAAGACATATTCAGATTTTTAACGCATTTTTCAAGTCAATTTAATATTTTCAGTGGCCTTTGAGGGCACATTTTGTGCAGCAGTAGCCGATTTTGGGGTATGCAAGTTCGAATTTTCGTTAAACATATTAGCCTGATTTTTTGCCATGTCAGCAAAAGAGATGCCTTTTTTGACCAAAATATCCTTTTTTTGTTAGTTGGATCTATTTCTCGGAAATTTCTCACATCCACAATATGAGGCCACATGATTTTTTAGGCAGTTGGCACACTTGGGCTCCTCCATCCTTCCTTAGGTCGGGCAGTCCATTGTTTTATGGTCCAGCGAGCATTTGACATAGCGTGGGGTGAAATGACAATTTTCAGAAGAATGTTGCCACTTTTGGCAGTTATGGCACTGTGGAACCTGATTCTTCGACAGCGACAGCAAACGGAAGAAGATCCATGACATGATAAATATCGTCAGCTTTATCATGTTTAATCACCTGGACTAAAAAGAGAGGCACAGGAGCTTTGGTTCGTCTTCTGGTCAGTTGCGTGACTTTGACTTCCAAGGGATTGGGAATAAGCAAGGCAATGGCTATATCCTCCGTTTTTGTGGTTAGAGACAGACCTCTGAAAACCACTTTGATTGGTCGAGCGTAGTTGGCATTTATGACATAGTGCTCTATTTTCTTTTCCAGAAAAAGAGATGTCAGGAGTCTATGTTCATCAGCTGTGCGTGGTAAAACTTTCAAAAGTTTGCCATTCACTTTTTCTAAAAATTTAGCTTTGGTTTGAAGTACAATTCCTTTAAGAAAGCCTTGTGAGTAAGTTTCCCTGGATTTACCGTAATGGCGGGGGGTATGGCCTGTATTGGCTGTTAGTCGGCTGCTGCTGCATGACCTGTCTGTCTGGGCTAGCACTATCATTTATACTTTCAACATTATCAGAATTATCTTGAAGTACATTAAATCGGTTAACAGTTTCAACATTCAGTGAAACTTTATCTAATTTTTCCTGCTTAACAGTCTTATTAGGTAATTTAAATCCATCAGTATCAAGAATTAAATTTCCATGACTAATTTCCTTTTAGCTTTAGATTCCTCACTTTTTCTTTTAATACTAGAATTAACAGAGAGAACAATGCCTGAAGAACAAGACAAATTGCACTTACCTCTTATTTCTGAAGCTTGTGGAGCGTTCGTAAATTCTTAACCATGATATCCGGGTCAGATACTTCACACAGTCGTTGACAAGCTTTAATTGCCATTTTAACTGCGTCGATTTCTTTTTCCAAGTCCATAAGTTTTTCCGTATAGTAATCCAAGTTTTCATTATCCGGTTGAGATTGCGGAGGATGCCCAACACAACTCTCTGTAGTAGCACGTGTCTCAGGTGGAACGCTAACGTCCATCTGTGCAAGATCTTCAGCAGTAGAACTCGTCTCCGTCAGAGCGCTCATGATGTGCACCTTCACGTGCGAGGATCAAGGACCGAATCCGAAAAAGATTGAAATGATTACTTTAATGATAAAGCTCTATGGAATTGAAAGTCTTTTAGCTTTGCAGTATCTACAATATCTTTTTATTTTAAAATAATTGGTTTTAAAAGTCATGGAAAAGTAAATTCAAGACAATGTTGGAAAATATCTTTTGATGATATATAAACATATTGGGCATCACTTCCTGTGAAGTTTTTATCTCTGAAAAATGTTCGCTTTGACATTTTGTCTGCATTCGGTTCAGTTTATAAATGCGAGCACATGTTTTCACACCTGAAATTTATTTTAACTAAGAGCAGAAGCAGCTGAACTACTGAAAATTCATGCTTGTATTAGACTTGGATGACTAACTATAAGCCTGACTTGATTAAATTGATAAATCAAGTTTAGCATCAGGGGAGCCATTGATGTCGAAGAGAAAATAGTGTTCATTCAGTTATGGTTGTTTTCATAATAATTAGGATTATAATTCTTATGTTTAAAGCATATTGTTTTCTTACTAAAATTTATCATATTATTCATCAGAAAAGGCTATTTTAAAATTGGGCACAAAATTGCTGACCCATAACGTATTTTCTACATTTTAATTCTCATATTCTCATTCCTATGCAATTCATACCGCAGCGAGTTTATTACATTTGTTTGATCCTTTAAAGAATATCAGGCTTACTAGTTTAATTATATTATGAAGAGACACATATTTTTATGATTAAATTGTTGACATCTGCAAGAATTTGCATCTGGAATTCAAAATTTCTGCGATACTTAATGAATCTGTTCGGCTTGTGATCTTAATGGAACAAAAGGGATACTTTAATAAGGGAATTTTTTTCTTATCATAAATGATTGATAAGCAAGGGAATAATATACTAGGAAAGCTGTTGTGAGTGTTACTGAGTATTGTATTTCTATGTAATAATGCTGTTATGTGTTTAATTAGAAAAAATGGAACTGAATGACTAAAATTTTAATATAGTATTTATTATATATATAAATGCGTGTGAAAGTAATTTACATGTGGTCTTTATTAATTGCATAGGCATGCATACGAAGGCAGTTGCAGGCAATAGATGATGATCCCTCTTTAGAACCGCTTGAAAAAGCTCGTAGAAAACAAAGTATTTACTTGGCTTGTGATGTTTCGTTGAGTCATTTATCTGGGTCAATGAAAACTATGTCTCCTTTAGCTACTTCTTTCTATCCAGCAGCTGATACTGTAGAGTCCGTTGTTGGTGAGTATCTTTAATTTTAAAGATTATTATTATTTTTTTTTTTTTTTTAATTCTGGTAAGCATGCAAATTAAAGTAAGTATAACATAATTAAGACACAATAACACGCCGAATAAATACTCAGAAGTCAAACAACAAAAATCAGCGTTACACCTACAAAATTTTCACAGGACTAGTTTCGATGGTTTTACCGAACCATCATCTTCAGCTGCAAAACCGCAAATGAACAAGATAGGAAATAATGATTAGATAAGAAAGCCTGGACAAGAATAAGCAAGTGGTGCCATCTGTTGGCGAAACCAGAACTAAAACATAATTTCTCTAAAAGCCGAAGGCAAATTTGGATTGGAATTAGGATCGTTAACTAGAACAGAAACATTTTTATGAATGTGAAATGCCTCTAGAAAATCCAGTTCTCCAATGGAAGATGTTTTTTGAATAATTTTGGCAGCAGAAAAATTGAAAGTGTGATTTTCGGAGCAACAATGTTGAGCAACAGAAGACTTCTGTGTTTCCTTTTTTCTAACATATGCCTCATGTTCTTTGACGCGAAATTTTAAGGCTCTCTTAGTTTGGCCAATGTAAATTAAACCACACTGGCAAGGAATCCTATAAATACCCCAGGAATTCATATCCGGAATGGGGTCCTTGAGTATAGAAGTTGGAATTTTATTGATGGGAGAATAAACAACCCGAAAGTTAAATTTCTGCAAAATATGTGCAACTTTATAGCTAATGATGGAAAGAAGGGAATGACAACAGAATTTTTATAATCTCCTGAAGTATGAGTGTGGCTTTTAGTGTGTTGAGATGAGAATTTTTTAACTGCTTGATTAATAATGTTGGGTGAAAAGCACCCAGCATTGAAATAATGTTGGATTTTCTAGAGGCATTTCACATTCATAAAAATGTTTCTGTTCTAGTTAACGATCCTAATTCCAATCCAAATTTGCCTTCGGCTTTTAGAGAAATTATGTTTTAGTTCTGGTTTCGCCAGCAGATGGCGCCACTTGCTTATTCTTGTCCAGGCTTTCTTATCTAATCATTATTTCCTATCTTGTTCATTTGCGGTTTTGCAGCTGAAGATGATGGTTCGGTAAAACCATTGAAACTAGTCCTGTGAAAATTTTATAGGTGTAACGCTGATTTTTGTTGTTTGACTTCTGAGTAAGTATAACATAATAAGAAATTTGCCCATTTTAGCAAGAATTGTTTTAACTTTCAAACCATTTTAACCAAATAAATTTTTCATTATTTCTTATTTAATGCATTTTTTTTATCAAAGAAGTAAGTTGTGAATACTTAACTTCATCAGAACTTTCAGTGATATTGATATAATCTGTTTTGCTATTTTCCATACAATCCCCCTGTCCAGATTGTTCTTATTATTTTGAGCATTTCCACCTTGTTTCAATGTATCCCTTCCTTTCCTTTCATCATAATTGGAATTTTTATACTTTACTGTCTCTCCTCACAGGCAGAATCTTAAATGTTGTGCTTCTTGGAGGCATTGGGCAGTCTGCTTGCTATCTTGAAATATACTTATCTACAATTATGTACACTGTGCCCAAATAAACAAAAAAAAAAAAAAAAGGACAGTTCTATATCTTTTGTTCTACTGGGCGGATTGACAAAATTCAACTTCCACTTTTTTTTTTTTTTTCATGTGCACGACTTATTAGTATTAGATTTGTACATAGCATTGTTCTAATATAGGTATTTTGATATTAAATCGAAATTTTTCTGAAATGACATGCCAACTTTTTTTCGTATTTCGATTTTACGACTGAAATTATGCCAAACTGCTAAGTTTCGTAAAAATCACACAAGTAGTTTTTAATAAATTAATTCTCAAAATTTTAGCTCCTGAGTGTTAAATTGAGCTAGGTATATATTTATTAATCTCTATTTTTTATCAAACTTATTTGATTCTTCCTTTCGCATTTCAAATTTCACGTTCATTCCAAATAAAATTCACCCATTTTTCCAATTTATTTTAAAAATTTGTATTTTTAAATAATTTTTATAAATTTTTCAAAAACATTTTGAATTATAATCTATAAAATTCTTACCAACATCTTAAAGTAGACATATTTCTAAGCATGCCTGCAAAAAATTAGTTTTTTATTCTAAATTTCTGAAGGTGTGCGTGAATTTATATATTGGCACATTTTAAAATTTGGCATATTTGTTGAAAGGGATAAAACATCAAATGTGGTTTAGGCACTTTGCTAAAATTATTTGAAAGTAGGAATGAAATGACTTTTTTTTCTGTTCATGCAGAATGTAAAAAGGTAGGAATAAGGCGCCTTTTTTCCCACTCTGGCATAAAGGAAGGGAAAGGAAAATTGGTTGCCATACATTAAGAAGTTCGCCAAGTGAATTAGTCTTGGTGCAAACTGAAAAAGTTACGCCAAGATAAATTTTTGAATTTCTCTGTAAATTTCACACCACATTTTACAAAATGTAACATCTAGGCATAATTTGAGTCGTAGAATTGAAATATGGAAAAAAAATTGGTATGGGGTTGGTATAAATTCCTTCCTTTTATAATTGGTAATAATTTCCTACCTGGAAGATACAAAACTGTCTTTTTTTTTCCCGCAGTGTACATATGATGTGTTTATTTCAACCTGCAATCCTATTTTTGTTAGAGCAAAAGACCACAGCATATTTGATGCAATTGTGATATGCAGTTCGTGTATATTCATCCATATGATAATTGTAACTCTCTATCAGGCAAAAATAATCGCACAGTTCTTCACAGAATCAACAAGTTATCAGTAGTTACACTTTAAACTACTAAGAACATTAAACACAATGCAGTGCAAAGCACATCTAAAAGGTAAAGCTCTCATGGATATCTCAATACTTTGAATTCAGCTCTGAACTGTGGAAATGATGCTCTCTTCAGTCTTGCATGGTTTTCTCCTGCCTGCTGAGAAATCTCTAGTACTTCTCAAAATTACTGGAAGGCATATGAGGGTTGGATAATGTTATAGCTACAGAGGATCAATTACAGTTATTCAATTACCATTACAGTTTTACGTAGACCGGACCAAAATGTCACCAACTTTTTATGATTTCTCGCCAAATTTAATGACAAAAAATATTCAGCTAAACTATCGCTAACTTGGCGACATCTCACGGGTTTAGCAAAACAGCCATTTACAGAATGTTAAAGAGACTTGCCCCTCTGTTGTTACTTTTTCTGACAAAGCATTGTCTCTTTTGATTTTCATGCTACATTATACAAAAAACATTTTTTCCTTTGCATATAATTTCACTAAAATTATGTATGTACAAAATTCGTAACAGTAAAAAAACATATAAAGTATTTTACCGTCCTTAAAAATCATTGTGCTTACCCTGTCTCAAAAAAGAATTAATAACTGAGTTAATAATTGTAAAAGTAGCATTATTTTTCTTGTTTATCTGTTAAAGCCTGTAAATGTGAACTTAAGCTTTTAACTTGTTAGAAGAAATGGTATTATTCGGTTTCGAGGGCCGTAAAAAATCCCCAAACTATTGTTGATGCCAATGCTGCCAAAAATAATTGCGGCAACCCTAAACGCAAGAAAAGTATAACAATAGTAAATAACTGTCTACAGATTAATGTTTGATTTAATTTAGATGAAAAGGTTAATTTCATATAATACTTTATTATTATAATTTATATGAAAAAGGCTAAACATGAACTGAATGGAAGCATAAGAGTAATAACTTTTTCAGATCATTATTATAATTTATATAAAAATTGCTAAACATAATACTGAATGGATTGCCTGCATCGCTATTTCGCTACCGACTTATCGCTTAAAGCATTATTTCATCTCGTTGGTTGTTCAAACTTAATTTTCTATAATGAATTATGCTTTTTCTTTGAAAATATTCTCGGTAAAGTGCAGAATCGCTCACTTATTTGTTTGCTGGTTTTTACAAGGGTAAAAACAATTGAATTTTTGTCAATTTTCTTTTACTTTTTAAGTGAAAATAGGTCGATGTGTACATAGATAAAGTCAAGGCTCTGCGCAGTGCCATTTTTGTGCAATTCTAGGATTTTTTTAAAGAGAAAATAGGTCGATGGGCACATGGGTACCGAGTATGTGCAATTCTTAAAAACGCATCAAGCAGTGGGTGATTCTGCACTTTACCCAAAATCCTATTGCCGACTTTTTGTGATGTGCAATTCCCAAATTGTTAAATCCATAGGATATCAAAAAAGGATTTAAAAATTAAACTAGTATGTCAATGGCGTCTTAAGAAATATAGAACTATATAAACTTACGCAATCTGAAATCAACATGTACGCTAGATTTGGCGCCCTGTTAAATGGGCGCATTTGCTAGATTTGGCGCTTTTATGCATACATTTTCGCTGCAATTTTTTTACGGCCCTCAAAACCGAATAGTACCGAAGAAATTAGTATGTTAACTGTATATTAAATTTGATTTTTTTTTTTTTTTTTTTTTTTTCCCTCTAGGTAATGCTTTAGATGATTTAAGTATTGATGATATAAATGTTGAAGCATCTTTAAATAGGGAACTGATAAATGATACTGGAAATAGTTCTATATCAGGAATTGGTGGTTCTAGTAAGTAAACACTTTTCCCTTAGTAACTAATATTTAGTATCTGCCAAATATCAGTATCCTAAATTTAAGTCTTACCATTCATTAAAAAACTTAATTTTGATTTTTAACCTCCTTTTAAATGGTTTTAATTTTTTCGCCTTTTTATCTTTATGTTGGTTTTCAACAAATGAAATACATGTTAAAATTTTACAAACTATTAAAAACTTCCTATCTTTTTTGTGTGTGGATTCCTTCTTTTGCTTTATTCTTACTTCTGAAGCATTCTCATTTTCACTTCCTTGTACGAAATATAAAGGAAGTATTGTAATGGCAAAAATTTTTCAGGAATCATAATTGAACGAAAATATCCATTTTGACCGCCATCAAATGCAATTAACGATGTTTTTGCGTGACATCTGTACGTAAGGACAGAATAAAATACTCTTTTCCACCCAAAAAATTATAAAACTGGTTAAAAACGAATTCTAAAGGGAACTTTTCGTGTCCTCTGTATGTATATATGTATCTTGCATAACTCAAAAACGAGTAGCCTCAGAACGTTGAAATTATGTATATAGGACTGCTGTAACATGTAGATGTGCACCTCATATTTTGGTTGCAATCGGCTACACCAAACGTATATAAATATCATGGAGGTAAGAAAGGAAGGAGTGGCCAACCGGCACTAGAAGTGAAGCACTGGTTACCAGATGGGTTGTTCTTTGTTTACATTCAGAAGCTCGCTTGACAGTGTTCTGATAGTATTTCGACACACGACAGTTCCATACAAATCGAAAAAGGGACACTTTCACATGAAAGAAACATTCATAGTGTGATAGATAATAGCAATTTGTATAGTTTAGTGACATTTACGCAAAAATCACATCATGGTTATTTTTCGATAACTAACAACAGCGATTTTGATTATGAATTTGTTTTACAAAATTCTAAACTGTTGAACTACAAAAATATAAATTTTAACAAAAATGTTATGCTTAAAGAATGAAAAATACCTTATGGTACCTTTAAAATTGTATACGTCTTTCGATACCCTTGATAGAGTATTCGCTACTTTTATTTTATGTTTCGAACGCCAAAATGTTTTAAATAAAATAAATTTTTTTCACATCCATACATTATTGTAACATGTACCTTTTAAAATTTTTTAGAGGAGAGGCTTTACTGCTGCTCATTTTAAACTCATCATTTTAATTTTATATATCTGAAAAATAATCCCTTTGGGCTCACATGTTTTACTTATTTGGGTTAATTAAAAATAAAATATAGTGAATGCACAGAAATTAAAGATTTGCACATGCTGGAAATGAAAAATATGAAATATGTATGGGTATTTATGCATGTGGTTGCAAAAAGAATGTATCTGCCTTTAACAAAATACATAAATATTCATTAAATTATTTATAAATGTATTTGAAATGAAGAATTTATTCATTTATAAACAACCTGTGAAAGTTAAAGTGTAGAAATTGGTTATTAAATGTATCTAAATTTATAATGATTATAAATGTTATCTAAATATATAATAACCTTAATATGAATTGTAAACATAAATTGAAATCCTGTTGACAAATACGTTATAAAACTATTTAAGCAAGAATTGTTCGTACTGAATGCAATCTGTTAAAAGGCATTGTAAAGCAAATGCTATGAGATGCACACTTAAGAAAGTAATAAAGAGTTTTGGAATATGTATTGTTGAAATTAATGGTAAAAAAATCTGATAAATATAATTAAAAGAATTATTCCCCTTGCATTTTATAATAACTCAGTTACAAGTTTTAAATAATACTTTAAAAAAATCCTTATTTTATTCTCTTTCAGAAATGTTCAGAGAAAGTTAAGTACTATTTAAAGTATTTTGCTAATTTTTAATAATTCTCTAATTTAAAATGAACCGAATAGAGCATTAATTATAAATTGACTTATATTTTTCGATTTAAAAGATGCCTCAGAAGCCAAAAAATCTTGTCATATTTAAGAAAGTATTTTAGGAAGAAGCTCTATAAATAGAAAAGAAATAATGCATAATTTTAATATTAATAATACAATAAATTTTTGTACCTTAACCAAATAAAATCGAATTACCTTAAATTTTTTTCCTAATGTAATTAACAAAAACTTGTGAAAATATTTCATTCAAATTAAACCATTCTGAGAAAACTGTTCTGCGAAAGTTATAGCATTTGATTCTGTTCAGAATGAAATGTTGTTTAAAAATATATTCTTTTCATATACTTAGGACTCTGAAGTGTTGTAGAAAAAGAAAATATATACATTTATATGCATATTTACGACGTAATTACAAAGTATTTACATCCGATCGCGTCAAAACCCATTGAACTTAATGGTAAATGACCCTATGTTTTGGTCGCCACGTAGGGATCGCCGGTGCTTCAGAGCAGGGTATGGGAGAAACCTGTTTAGGGCTATTCCATCTTACTTCCTACCTCCATGATAAATATAGGTATGTATATATCCATCCTGTTAACCGGCTCAATGCTCTCAGTTTCTTTACTCTTATATGTTTGTAAGTTGTGCATTTTTGGCTTTAAAAATGATTGAATTATGTTGTTCTTATCTCCCGGTTACGGTTTTTGTGCGTTTAGTAAGTCTGCATGCAATATTTGTAGAGTTATCAACAATTTAAAAGTTGTTTAACTGCAGCTAAGCCTAATTAATTTTGTTATGGGAGACATGTTTGTTAAATTTCAAACTTTAAAATAGCGGATTTGTTGTCAATCTAGAGAAACTAAACTTTGCAACAACAAAAGATAATGCCTTCTTTTATTATTGCGAATTAAATCATGTTTAATCCTTTCTAAAATTTATTTAAGGAAATAAGTGTTTAAGATTTACTTCATAACTTTTAATATATATATTTTGAGTTTTTATTTATTTTTGCCTTATTGTGAAGTGAGAATTGAATGTGAAATACTGAATCATCTGTGAAAGACTGTTTCTTTTTTGTTTTGTTTACTTAATTTTTTTAAATACATCGTTTTAGATTTATTATAGTATTTGAATAGAACATGTGGCAATGATTAGATAATTCTTCAAATGATATAAATTTATATGCATTCTGAGGACGAACGAAATGTAATGCTATTAAGTGAACCTAGCGCCAGTGTCGCTATGGTAAACAAATATAGTGAATTTTAAAGAGTGCATTTATTTTATTGTGGTTTATACATTATCGATGAAGTGGATTTAATTCAATCCAATAAGTTTAAATGAAATGCCAGAAAAAATGCATATAATTTAATATTCTGTGCAAGGAAGTCATGTGGTGTACACATCAGATTTTTTACTTTAAACTTCCTGTTATGATGCAGAGGTACGCTGCGTTCACATGAGAATAACTTAATTCTCACATCATAGTTATATCGAATATTAATAAAGTTCTGGTAAATGAGGTTTAAAAAGGGTCATAGAGGATAAATTTTCTTGCATTCCCGTTCAAAGCATTTGATCTAGTTTATTCTTTTACTTTTCATTATGTTCAAAGGTTATTTTCAATTAACTAAAAGCTCCTATATTAAAAGACATTCAACAGTTCTATGTTTGACTATATAAATAGGAAACATACTTAAATAATGAAATTTTCATATATTTGAACCACGGTGAAGCCAATGTTGGAAAGAGGAACAAATTATGTATGTATTGCAAGGCCCTCAAATTTAAGAATGAAGCACCAGGAATGTGCCACGTGGGTGGAAAAGTAAAAATTGCGAGACTTAAATTCAACACCCGAACCATTATCAAATGTAGTACTTCAGTGTACAGGGTTAAAGCATGAACACTTTCTTCCGGTTAAGTAGTATTGCAATGCATGCTGGGTGACAGCTATTATATATGGTGTGTTTCCGAATTCAACCAACAGATTCAGAGGGGTGATAGTAGGCATAAAGAGGATGAAAAGTTGCAATGGAACATGAAGTCACAAACGATGTTTAGTGGCGAGAGAAAATTGCAAAAATAGTTATGAAGGACGTGATGTCAATTGGAACAGAAGGAACAGGTAATAAGTCGAAAAAACATTTATTTGCCTTAAAGTAGATTACAGTGAATCACAGTTCAATGTCAGAAAAGAGATGATGAGACAGTTTTATAGAAAGTGTTCAACATTGCGTCCAGAAAGGTCATTGCCCACCCAACATCAGCAGGCGTATATTACTGGATATGTTCGAACATACCCAGTGTGCTGGTGATGAAGTCTATTGAAGTGACAAAGATCCTTGCTGTCAGATTTTTCAATGTATCCCTGGCATCTGATATAAAAGGTTTCTTTTCCTTTACTATGCTTCTCCAGTGTGAGGCTTCCTTTCTCAAGTAGCATTCAAAGCAGTCAGGACTTAGGTGTGTGACCACACCATGTGACTGATGCCTGCTTATTAACAGTCACTGTTCTTTCTGTTTCCTGATTCGTTGGTCTGAGTTTTCCATTGGTAGATTTTCTATCCCATAGACAAGCACATTCTGTCGTACTGATGACACATACATATCACTTTCGCTTTATGAACTCTTATTTAAATGTGCTATTTACTGTACATTATTATTTACAGTCCTTGGCCTTTGCTTTACACATTTGCAATTCACTCATTTGTGACATCTCTTGAGGTTTCTCAAGTCGACGGTCGCCTGAGGTGCTGGTAATAGTGTGATAAAACTCATTCTGAGGCCAGCCTAAAGATTAGTATCAAAGCAGTTCTCCTAATCCTTGCATTTGTTTGACCATTTTCTTCGTCAGGCTCACTGTTCTCTCAACTTCTATTTTCACCCACTAAATGGGGTTTGTGACCCCATGTTCTGTGATAATTTTTCATCCGTCTGATGGCTACCTTTGAATTTTTCGATCAAATTTTGAAACACCCTGTATATTAATTTCATTTGTAGTTAAATCTTCATAATGTTTGTAATTGTGCTGTATTTTGTTATAAATATATAGAATTGTTTGCAGTTATAACAAATGAAAAATAGTCACAGATAAACTAGAGGTAATT